TGTATCTTAGAATGTATAATCAGGTTATGTCCGTCCAGTGTTTTAGGATGTGTTGTCGGGATGTAACATTGTTTGGAGTCGAGGCCTGCTTTATATACAGTGTAATTACTAAATCAACGTAGATTGGTTAACCACCAGCTATCTGTGAGTTTGACTTTTATGATGGCAGCCACACAACCTTTCAGCGTAGCCAGGCATGACATATATATCTTCATTGCCACACCAAGTAGGAAATTTAATTTTGTTTCCCATAAAGATGTCAGCACCACCAATATTTCATTCAACATCCTAGTCATTATCTGTTGTATTATATACATGTATGTTTGTTGTAGCTGTATTTACCTAATGTAAGCTATTGTGTACTGCCATCCCTCTCAAAGTGTTATATGGCTGCTATATGATCAATATATAGCTAATGAATCAATTTTATTCATCAAGTCATTTTGAATGTTCATTTATCTGGTCCAATACAGGTGGATGAGAGATGCTATTACTCATGCATTATATAGTATATAAGTGAATGTTATTATAGATATAGCCCTTTGGTAGTGGGGATGTCCGTGTTATAAATGTTATTATAGATATAGCCCTGTGGTAGTGGGGATGTCGGTGTTATACACTGTTAACCCAATACCACCAGAGAGCAATAAAGAGGGGCCTATTGTCATGCTGGCATCAATAAAGAGGGTCCTATTGTCATGCTGACATCAATAAAGAGGGTCCTATTGTCATGCTGACATCAATAAAGAGGGTCCTATTGTCATGCTGACATCAATAAAGAGGGTCCTATTGTCATGCTGACATCAATAAAGAGGGGCCTATTGTCATGCTGACATCAATAAAGAGGGTCCTATTGTCATGTTTACATCAATAAAGAGAGGCCTATTGTCATGGTGGCATCAATAAAGAGGGGGCCTTTTGTCATGCTGACATCAATAAAGAGGGTCCTATTGTCATGCTGACATCAATAAAGAAGGTCCTATTGTCATGCTCGCATCAATAAAGAGGGGCCAATTGTCATGGTAGCATCAATAAAGAGGGGCCTATTGTCATGCTGACATCAATAAAGAGGGGCCTATTGTCATGCCGACATCTATAAAGAGGGGCGTATTGTCATGCTGGCATCAATAAAGAGGGGGCCTATTGTCATGCTGACATCAATAAAGAGGGTCCTATTGTCATGCTGACATCAATAAAGAGGGTCCTATTGTCATGCTGACATCAATAAAGAGAGGGCCTATTGTCATGCTGTCATTATTAAAATCCTTCTTCTACCATAGTGATTAAGGGATTTTATCCTAAGTTAGTCTGGAGCATCCTTGGGCCAAGGGGACTCAAATTTGTATTAGCAGTAGGTGTGGTCTCTGATGGGGGCAGAAGGGCGGGGCCCAATAGGAGAAATAGAGGTAAAACCTTTAAAATCCTTCTCCGACCATCAGGATTAAGGGATTTTATCCTTATTTAGTGTCGAGCATCTTTAGTATAATTGGTGGGTATGACCCCCGTAGGGGCATATGGGTGGGGCTCTGTTTGAAGTTTGTTCTCTATATCTCAAGTACTGGATGGATCTTTCTGACATTTCATATGTACTTACAGCACCTACCATAGAGTGCTATATCTTTACTTCATACCAATTACTTTAATTATATTCAGGTGAGCGATACAGGCCATCTGGGCCTCCTGTTTCATTTACAGTCCTGCAAAATTGTCCGATCACATGGGTTTTCTCCGGGTACTACGGTTTCCTCCCACATTAATTATAATACCCCCTGCGCTCAATACAAACAAGTTAACTAATTGCTATCAATAAGTATGTCCGTCCACCTGTTTGTCTGCTCAAACTTTGGTTTCTGCAAGATAACTTGCTTCAATATCATTTCAGTTTCAATGGAATTGGATATCCTGTACATTATACCAAGGCTATAGGTTCAGTTAAATCAGAACTCAAGCATAAGTAAGCATGCATATATCGCTCTGATTAACAGGTCACCACGTTTCACACAAAGACTTATATTTAGTCGAGTATAAATTGATTCTGATGAAAGTTGGTTGACATTGATATTGTACAAAGACAAATGCTATATTGTTCTAACTTGAACGAAACCTGCCCATAATTATGCAGCAATTAGGTATTTCTTTTGTTTTAATTATTTATGGTGAACTGGAACATAGGCAACTTGGAGGCAAGCTCTATACAATTAGTTTTGTTTTGCTGTTGTTGATTGTTTGTAATATGGGCAAAGGGAGGCAATCTTTGTACAATTATGATATTTCAAAGGTTCGTCCTTCAGCTATTGAAGTAAAGATCCTCTTGCAACATGAAATAAGGGATCCAACTTTACCAGGTATAAATGTAATGGCTTCATTTCATTCATGTCGTACAGTTCATCAGAAGGGTTATCTAAGTATGTATTGTCACTTTGTTATACATCAAGTCTTAGAGGATACTACAGGACAAGTAACTGGTGTAGTTTGTTCAAAATGATACTAAACGGACTAGGATCATAGAAATTAAAATATGTAAGTGCTGTGGTTAGGCAATAGCCGTTTAAATTGGTTCAGCATCCTGTATATTTCACGGAAGAATGAACGTCCAGTAATGATAGATTGTGTTTGTATGATTGACCTACTCGGGGGTTGTTACTGCTGTGTATTCCATGTAGTAAACAGTTCGGTCACTTTTGTTATATTGATTAGTGCTGATGTCTGAAATGACTCCACATATTTGTTGTGCTGGCACGTTATTTGATCTTGTCATCGCTCTTGTGACACAGACTGATGTTTTGAAATCTGAAATGTATCCATACAAAGGTTTTCCCTGCCTTTTTGATTGCAATAACTTTGTCAGTATACAACTGTATATGTTTGTTCAAACACACATGACAATAACTTTGTCAGTATATATGTTTGTTCAACCACACATGACAATAACTTTGTCAGTATATATGTTTGTTCAACCACACATGACAATAACTTTGTCAGTATACAACTGTATATGTTTGTTTAACCACACGTGACAATAACTTTGTCAGTATATATATGTTTGTTCAACCACACATGACAATAACTTTGTCAGTATACAACTGTATATGTTTGTTCAACCACACGTGACAATAACTTTGTCAGTATATATGTTGTTCAACCAAACATGATAATTGCAAGTGGCCTTGTGGTTGACAGGACACTTTTAATTGACAGCAATAAAAAAATGTTGATCGTTGTCTTTTAAAGCTTGATTCATATGACCTGACCCCTGAATACAAGCTTTTTAGTGACTACGAATTTGTGCTATACTACTTCCAGAGCATCACATATCAACAATAACACAGTTCTGAATCACAATATATACCAATATATGTCAGTACACCATTGTAGGAGAAGGGCCTTTCAATGTCAAGGTTGTTTAATAAATGTTCAAATTAAATATTTACTCAGTAACCTATTGATTTGTTAAGGCGAACAATTACTGAGGTTTAGAGTTTGTCAACAACATGATTCCGTCATTTACATTGTAAATCAGCCAATGGGTTTTATTACATACTGAAATCACAATTTAAATGTCTTTTGGTGTTTTAATTTGTAGGTGTAAATAGTGTATTAATGTCGATGTGGAAATAATACCAATTGTGAACCACATATAATATGCTTAGAATCACTCCTGTGAAAAAGGCTTCAGTGATATTGTTTGACATTTCCATTGGAAGTAGGTGAAATATCGATGAAGGAACCAGCCCTATTGTAGTGAGGAGTAAAACACGACTGAGAGGTCATACAATGTGGTGATAGGTACATGTATAGATGAAGGGTAATTATGGGGACCTGTTCGGGCTGTGGAGGAGAAAATAATCAATGCCACCACAGTTTGAGCCGTTACTATAGCTAGCTGGCTGTAATACAGATATAATGATCGACTCACCCCCTGAACTCTGGTCAGACATAATGTTGGTGATCATCTATCTAATCCTGGCCTTTCTAATATTTAATGACTGTTTACTGTTTTATTCTCGGTCATATTATGGAAGGCATGAGAGAGTATAAGGTACACAGCTATCCACTGACCCAACTTAACCTTGGACATAACAGTGGGGAGATGATGCCAACAAGTCCTGTAGCGTATATAGGTATTTGCTCCATCAGCATTAATTGTAGCAGGGGTTGTTAGTTCCAGCGGAGGTTGATATGATGGTGAACCCAAGGAGTACCACTGTGTCATTCCTGGTCCGATCTCTATTCTCCATGTATATTGATAAACCTAAGTGAAGGTTAAACAGATACAGCTCAGTGTCTAATTTGTTCAATGATGCATACTTGAGTCAACCTTTAAGTCTCAAAAGGATCAGTTAGAATGGATATCCCAGAATACATTTTTTTTACTCACAAGATAATGTTGTAAATTATCCTTATGTTGTATTATGAAAATATGTGATGTTTCTTGCAATAACATCCATATCACCTTCAATCGTATCGCCTACAACAATGATAAACAAAAAAAATGTTGACTTTAGAGGCGTAGTGAAATGATTAAAGATGGGTGTTTGCTCATTTTCCAGCAAATAAATCACTTTTGGAAAGATATAAACTAATATAAAGGTCATTGTTCCAATATGAAATAAGATATAAAGAAAAGCCAGACTAATGACACAAAACAGTTTTAAGGAAAGGAGATTCTCCTCTCACACTAAATATTGATGAGTGTAATACTTAAAGTAGTTAAGGTCCTCATGAAGTCTGGCACAAAGATGCAAATGAAGTTAGTCTGAAACTTGATTATTCCTGTTTTTGATACTTTAAAGGTAACACGTATTTATTATATAGGTACCTATTTAATTGCTATACAAGTCATATTTCATTTCGTCAGTTTCTGATTTATGTCAAGAAGGAAAACATGACAACAATGCTTAAAACAACTCTTTTGAGGAATTCAAGTTAAAATGAGCTTTTTGAGACAGAAAATTAGGTAATTTATAAAAATTGGTTCATTTGTTTTCTTTTCATTGCAGGGATTTTGCGTGAACAGGTGACGAAGGACTTCTGCCTTATAGAGGAAACATGGGAAAACAGAACAGTAAGCTGAAGCCAGATGCCTTGGAGGACCTACGGCAAGAAACAGAGTTCAGCGACCATGAACTACAGGAGTGGTATAAGGGTTTTCTTAAGGACTGCCCCAGTGGCCATTTGACTGTGGAAGAGTTCAAGAAGATTTATGGAAACTTCTTTCCGTATGGTGATGCATCTAAATTTGCGGAACATGTTTTCAGGACCTTCGATACAAATGGTGACGGTACGATAGATTTCAGGGAGTTCATCTGTGCATTGAGTGTCACAAGTCGTGGAAAGTTAGAACAGAAACTACAGTGGGCTTTCAACATGTACGATTTGGATGGTAACGGATATATCTCCAAGGATGAGATGTTGGAGATAGTAAGAGTAAGTACGACTTTTGAAAAATATTGATATGCAATTCTGGTAGGAATGAGGGATGTTTCATTCCATTCGTCCATAGCAAACACACCAGACATATGTTGTCTCCATTGTAAAATTTGTTTGGGGTTTCGATCTGGTGCTGACGGACAAGATGGCATGACCCTTTTTAAATTCACTGCTCTTTATTACATATTGGCCGAATGATAATTGAATTCTTAATACTCTGATTCGTATTTGTAATTCACATTACTGAACAACGTGTTATAATTGAAAGCTGGGCTATATTTATACAAACACACCCAGAGTAAAATCAACTTAGAAGCCGAGTTGTAAACACTCCTGTGTAAATAATGTAGCAATAAATAATGAAAGTTTGATAGTAAATCTGACAGCATTAGACCAGACTAAACCCAAGTGGATCACATAACGAGGATTAGTCGTTAAGGTTGATGACTGCTGCTGGTATTCTCATAAGCCTGGAGCACACAGATTGTAAGCCTGAAAATTACACTGATGTTAAACAGTCACACGCAGACGGTAATTGTAGCTTACTTGTTTGTGCTGCTGAGAATGCACTATAAAAATGTTATGTATGAAGATGATAATGTTCATCCAAATAGATCAGGATAGATATATAATGTCGATCTTGATCTGCTCTTTATGCCAAGCCTGGAAGAGTGCATGAGTACCTTTAATAACGCTGACTAGATATAAAATATATGATATGTTTATATGATTTAAGAAGGAACACCAGATTTTTTATCTCCCAAGTTTTGGGTTTCGGTCTTGTGGGCCCCGACAGTGTAAAGATCATTTGTTCAATCTTGCTTAAACTTTGTACAATGATCTGCCATGGGATCAAGATGAGCGATATTAAAATTCAAAGTCATACTAGGTATAGGGTCCAGGGTCAAAATTATTATTCATAGTAACACAGCACGAAGATATAGTAGCACAAAGCTTAAGGCTGTTCATTGGGCATGACCAGAGGACGAACTGAATGTGATTGTAATTCAAGGTGATCAGGCCTCAAAATTATGAGTGAATTTATGATTTTCTGGCAGGCACACCTTGTCATCAATCTAGTTGCATTATTTCAAAATTGATTTGTATAAAACTTCATACGCTTGTCAAGTATGCCAAGGTCAAGGTCAAACAGTGCCAAGTTCAAGGTAGTTGTTACTTTTCATAGAAACTATTAAATTTATTGACATTCTATTCTACTGACATTTCTGAACAGTTTTTGGTCCAGATTCTTATGAGTTTAATTCAAATGTTGCAGGCTAAGGGTGTACATTTTCATATTCAGGCTACCATCAATCAGCATGCAAATTTATAAAAAAAATCTGCTGGCCGTGGCAGTTAGGCTAATGGAATTGTACACCCCCGAATGGTGGTATGGTCAAGGTTAACGTCATCATTATTATTTTGATAGAAAATCTTTCTCGTCACTTTCGTCACTCTCATCACTGTATTTCTGACTTGTCACTCTTTAATCACCAGGTTTCTGAACAATGTTGATCGGAGGTCATAGTCAACTGTGAGCTAATTACTTCAAACACATGTGTATTTCAGGGTTTTACAACCAAGGTCAATGTCACTGTCTGCTATTTAAATTTTTAGAAAACCATAATCACTCTAGAAAATTTTGAACTCCTGAAAATATTTAATGTTTACTTTTGGATATAGAAACAGTCGAAAAGTTTAGTGTGTCAAAAGAAGCCATCTATCAGTGTCATTGTCGAGCAGTTGATACCGTCTCAGCATCCCGGAATGAATTTCATCAATGTCTTTTATTGCAGGAAAGGTTTTTCATTTCTTAAAAATGGCAAAACATTTGAGGACATTTGGACCAATACTATTTCATTGTTGTATCGGACTGACTTCCTTTTTACTGGACATCTCCAGTGATCTGACATAGTTAGATACACCAATTAACTCATTCACTCCTAAAGACTTATTTGAACTCATCCAATTCAAATGTTGGAATAGTTCATTACGAAATTTCGGTATTTCAATTTCGATTATTGAGACAATTTTACGCTACACAAATCAGTAGATAATGTTTATAGTGATCACTGAATTTGTTTATTTAGATATCAAGGATTAACATCTAACAGGGTTCAGAGATGTTTTTAAATCAGAGGAATTAACATAGATGAAATTGATGCTGACACATAACAGTTTGTAAATAGAGAACAGGTTTTGAATCATTTAGAATTAAACTGGTAGAATGCTGTAATAGGACTCTGTGCCATGATCTATGGAAGGTAAACTGGTAGAATGCTGTAATAGGCCTCTGCGCCATGATCTATAAGAGGTAAACTGGTAGAATGCTGTAATAGGTCTGTGCCATGATCTATTGGAGGTAAACTGGTAGAATGCTGTAATAGGCCTCTGCGCCATGATCTATAAGAGGTAAACTGGTAGAATGCTGTAATAGGACTGTGTCATGATCTATGGGAGGGAAACTGGTAGAATTCTGTAATAGGACTGTGCCATGATCTATGGGAGGTAAACTGGTAGATTGTTGTAATAGGACTGTGCCATGATCTATGGGAGGTAAACTGGAAGAATGCTGTAATAGGACTGTGCCATGATCTATGGGAGGTAAACTGGTAGACTACTGTAATAGGACTCAGTGCCATGATCCATGGGAGGTGAACTGGTAGAATGCTGTAATAGGACTCTGTGCCATGATCTAAGGGAGGTAAACTGGTAGACTGCTGTAATAGGACTCAGTGCCATGATCCATGGGAGGTGAACTGGTAGAATGCTGTAATAGGACTCGGTGCCATGATCTATGGGAGGTAAACTGGTAGATTGTTGTAATAGGACTGTGCCATGATCTATGGGAGGTAAACTGGTAGACTACTGTAATAGGACTCAGTGCCATGATCCATGGGAGGTAAACTGGTAGAATGCTGTAACAGGACTCTGTGCCATGATCTATAAGAGTAAACTGGTAGAATGCTGTAATAGGACTCGGTGCCATGATCTATGGGAGGTAAACTGGTAGAATGCTGTAATAGGACTCTGTGCCATGATCTATAAGAGTAAACTGGTAGAATGCTGTAATAGGACTCTGTGCCATTATCTATGGGAGGTAATTGGAAGCTCTGCAGTCAAAGGGTAATTTTAGAATATAGGACAGCAAAATCATTTGGTGCAAAATAGATTGATCAAGTGTACGACCTTGTATTCGTGGGATATCGGCAATATTACCGCTTGGCGTTAAGTTTATTTAAGTATTGATTGTCATATTTTTGACATGTATTGGTGTGTAACATACATTGGCTTACCTACATATTGAATGTTACACACCAATGCATGTCAAAAATATGACAACCAATACTTATATTTACATTTTATGTTGATCAACTTACAGTTCACGCAGAAATAAAGACATAATATTAGTCTGAACACGTTTCAACGTCAGGATGTTATACGGAAATAACATACATTGGGCCCAGTAGAAACATCTAGGCTCTGTGCAGTGGAAATGTAAATATAAACAAAACATTAATGACAGTTTCCTTTATATAAGCACTTGACATTCCAACACATTAAAATGACTTGATTAAAATTTATATTGTTTTATGTCTACAAAAGTTTCCTGCAGATTACTAGTTTAAAAAGATATTTCAATCACATGTCAAACTCAAATATCTTTACTAATTTGTATCTATTTCCCGTTTTTTCCTCTAGGCTATATACAAGATGGTTGGCACGGTGATGAAAATGCCTGAGGATGAATCTACACCTGAAAAGAGGACTGAAAAAATATTCAAACAAATGGACAAAAACCTTGATGGAAAGCTCTCCCTAACTGAGTTCATTGAGGGAGCAAAAAGTGACCCCTCCATTGTGCGGCTACTACAGTGTGACGGCAGTAATGCAGCTCTCTGAGACGGGTGTTTTCTTTTGTTTCATTTTTTAAAAAAGAATAACTGTTTATATACTGAATGAAAAGATATATATGATGATTGATATATATTTAAATCTTTTATGACTAAATATTGAGGATGCATTCATTCAGACTTGGATGTAGACCTTCCCAAAGCTGATGATGATGAAGAAGATGATGTGATGAAAGTGACAGTCATTGCATTACAGTCGCGGATGAAATGTGTCAGACCTCCTCCATATCATCCAAGCTGTCAGTTATTGCTTCAAATTCAATTTACCATTCTTGGTTGTGCCTATCGAGCAATATGTTGTGGGGAAGCTACTGGAGTGGAGAGAGGAGCTGTATTGTGGCAGAGATACCGTATACCGTAGTCCACATAATTATTGTGCCTGTACATCTGCATAACCCCACTCTCAAAATCTCAACAAATCATTACCGCTATCTCAAACAGTTTGTCGTGTCGCTGAGCCTGCTGTGTGATCGCTGCTTCAAAATAGCATTGGTTTAAAAGTAACACCCATGATAATGAACTTGTGAACCCACAGCTACTGCAAAACCAGGACCGTCACGTTCAGTGAATGTCGTGTCCAGTGGAGAGAACATGTGCAGCACGCACAGGGGTAATTAGGTGGAATACTGTCGATAATGAACGTCAAGTCATTACCCAAGATAATTAACAAATTAACAATAATATGCATACATACTAATAATTAATTTTTAAAAAATCTGTTGAAACACCTGTCCTGAAGTCTATTCCAATATTATAGTATATGGATTCATTCGAAACGGCTTTAAACTTTGACTTTGTGTATTGTTACCTCACTAGAATTTGCTCAACACTCATAATATGTGAGGCATTTTGAATGTAATCTAGTTTCAAGCAATATCAACAAGATTTTGTGTTAAAAATGGTTAGGTTTGTTATCTAGTGTGGTTATCTCTAATGGAACTTGGCAGTGAGGAGGGATATCTCGCGTGAATCAAGCTCCAAGGTGTTGCTCCAGGATCTGAAATGTAAGGGGGAGATTCGTAAGTTAGAAGGATGATCACATAGTATAGGCTTCTGGTATAAAAGAAATGCCTTGACAAATAGCATCAGATATTAGGTTTATCAATACTTTTTTGTTATTGCAAGATGAATTGTACATATATTTGATATGTTGATTTATTTTTACTTCAGTAATTTCCAAGATATTGAATCACAATGTGTGGCTTTTTCGTTGTTTTGTACCAACACTTGATGTACATATACATCATCTCCTAATTGTGAGGAATATTACAATGGCAAATATTGTGTGTTATGTTTTATAAAATCACTATCTTCTGCATTGACTTCATCACAAATATGTATGTCAAATTGTATGTTTACATAAATTGGTCTCAAACTTGTCCTTAAAATAAGAAGAGATTTTATATTCTGGATTTCAAAATTTATATTCAGGTAAAAAAAAATGGATAAAACACATTGTAATTTTTTGGTAAAAAATGTTTCTAATTCAGGAAAAATCCTGGCCTCTTGCCTGACTCATGTTTGAAGGTACCAGAAGGCTTCCTTTTAATGTGTTGTGCAATTTGCAAAACCAGACAGGTGGTTAGAAATTAATGAGATCAAGAGATAGTAACAATCAGATAAGTGCATAAGTACATAATGGATAAGTTCAGATTAAAGATCATTTGTAGATCAATTTCTAGTGAAAACTAGCACTGATAGTGGAAGGATTGCTGGGGGGTGGGGGGCAATTATGTTTTTGTTATGTTGTAATATTTTGAATTGTTTGTTTCTATAATATAAAAGTACTAAAACCTAAGCTGTGATGATATAGTTAGGGAGGGAAATCGTGTAACCATAATAATAGTATAGAAAATGTACCATTTCCTCATATTCCGATCTGTGATAGGGTTTTAGCGACAAACTGTTGATAGCATTTAGGAAATGTCCTAATGAAATCCTCATTGTGGTAAGATTGATAATTGATCGAACTTGTACTATTTATAGGCTGCAGGGAGCACACATATGTACTGTAGACTGTGTACATCCACTTGTCATCAGCGTGTACAAATAGCAGTTTTGTATCGTCATGGCACAACGCCACCTGTCATTTACACATTTACCTGTTTCTCACTCCTCTACGTTTAGATTTATTTCCTGTGTAAGTCTCTTGTGTTCCTACAACAGGATATATACGTCAGGGAATCGAGTGGATTAATTAGAGAGGTTTTTGTTTGGTTTCCTTGTTAATCACCTGTAATCTTGTGTCTGGTGCTGAAGTCCTAATCTCCTCCGTCTGACAAGGCTTATCTCTAGATGTATGGCTGCTGTATGTTTTCAGGTACACCATACAAAGATATTGCTTGATGTTTGGCCTTTAGCTTTGTTTTACCCAAACCCAAGATAGACACTTTAGCCATCACCTAATCACCCTGTACCTTGGCTGTTCTATGGGATTGTGTGGACATGCAATACCCCATTAATTACCTTTCTCTGTACCTTCGCTGTTCTATGGGATTGTGAGGACAATACCCCATTAATGACCTTTCTCTGTACCTTGGCTGTTCTATGGGATTGTGTGGACACGCAATACCCCATTAATTACCTTTCTCTGTACCTTCGCTGTTCTATGGGATTGTGTGGACAATACCCCATTAATTACCTTTCTCTGTACCTTCGCTGTTCTATGTGATTGTGTGGACAGTACCCCATTAATTACCTTTCTCTGTACCTTCGCTGTTCTATGGGATTGTGTGGACAATACCCCATTGATGACCTTTCTCAGACAATATCGATCTTTTGAGTGCTTTTGTCAATCCTCACTGTCCAGCCCAAATATTGGTTTTATGTGATATTTCGCCATCCTTTGTACATCAATATTCAATGATTGGGGGCCAATTGGTACCATGAACATTACTGCTGTTAGCTAGCATGCTTTGTCTTTGTACCAAGTGTGGCAGGCTGAGATATAACCTGACAAATGAAGGCAATCCTTCTTGTCTTTGTATCCAGCCACCACAATGGGTGATTGCTTGCATTCATTTAGCTTTGAGGCAAAGGCATAATAAGAGAAAAGTTGTTGCATTTCCTAAAAATGTTGTAATGGCATTGCTTAATTTATTGGCGTTCCCTGTCAATATTCAAACGCCAGGAAATTAGTCCCTGAATTAGAGCTCCAGGAGTAAGGCGGTTGTAATGGATTCATTGGACAGGGAAAACGCACCACTTATGGGGTATATTTGTCTGGGGAAGATAATTTCAACCCTACACAAGTGTTTGTACTGTATATGGTTTTGTTACCAGTACATTTTTAACATTTGAAGATACTAAAGATCATACTCACAGTTGTACCAGACACTCCCATTTATATACATATATATATATCTATGTGGGTATTGACAGTGTAATACCTGTGTATGTATTGACAGTGTAATACCTGTGTAGGTGTTGACAGTGTAATATCTGTGTAGGTGTTGACAGTGTAATACCTGTGTATGTATTGACAGTGTAATACCTGTGTAGGTGTTGACAGTGTAATACCTGTGTAGGTGTTGACAGTGTAATACCTGTGTATGTATTGACAGTGTAATACCTGTAAAGGTGTTGACAGTGTAATACCTGTATACCAGTATGTATCGACAATATAATACTATGTAGGTATCGACACTCCTACCACTGTACATGTATACAGACAAGAAACAGAAGACCTATACTTGAGGTACACGAGGAGTATGAGAGCTGTCAGCTGTAGTAACAGAGTTATCTGACCTTGACTACTGTCACCACTGATTGACAGCTGTTGGTGAGGAGGTACATGTACACTGGACCAATCCCAAACAGATGGGTTGTTTTTCATTAGCCCCTGTCACATATATACATTTTTCTGCGTCATTTTCAGGTTACCATACTTATCCTAGGCTATGTCTCTAGATTAGACTGTTTATAACGAGTTCATGTCTGTCTTGGGTAAAAGAAGGAATAAAATAGAAACAAAATTACAAGCTACCTCCTACCAGGTTAAGAATTGATGCCATTAGGGGGTGTAGATATCCAGTTATTTTGGGAGACTACATGTATACAGTAGCTTCTATATGTGTACTGAACATCGGTGTAGCTGTCTGCAGTATGTTTGTGTAGGTAAGATCAGCAGTGTGCTGGATACAATTAACACTAGCAGGTTGGTTCTGCATTAGACCAACACAATATTGTAAAGTTTGACATTTTTATGGGTAGTTCAGTGTATCAAGTAAACTTTAAGGCAAAAACAGGTTTTCCAACAGGTCTTATTGCTTTTATTGCTTGAAGTTCTTGTCTTCAGGTAGTAAAAGTTTAAATGAAGCCTTAAAACTATAAAATATAACATTCCAGATTCAGTTAAGAATGGCACTCGGGGTGAAATTGACTGATTGTTATAATTAGTCTTAGGTCTTAATAAGCTTATATTTAATTACAGGTCACATTGTTAGTGATTTTATGGAGGATTTTCTCACCTGGTTTTGTTTTGTAAATAATTTGGCTGTTAAAAAGTACCAGGTTGTAAGGACATAGAAATGTCTCAGTTTCGCTTGTCATAGTCCTTATCATGTAGATCTGAACAAGTGTAAAATAAAAATCTTGCCATTGTTACTTAATCTTAGCGGAACTGACTTAGGAGGAACCACCTGCCTATACTACATATACTGTATCAAAGTTTCTGAAACCAGAATTTAAAACCCAACATTGTATTTTGAATGTACATGTATTTTGAGTCGGTTGTGTATGATCTCTGTGCTGTGAATTCAGCGGTACTTTAATGTACAACTGACAACATTTAAAACTATCGCACTCTTACTTGTATATTCACTTTCTCATTTGTTATATTTGCCAAATGCAGGTGTACATTTTTTTGTGTTTTCCTTTACAGATTGTTGTTAAATGTAGTAAGATGTTTTTTTCAAGCACAAGATAGTACTAGGGTTTTTTTTCAAGCACAAAATAGTGTTAGCTTGTAGCGTCAGAAAGTGTCTAGCTTGGAGCGTCAGAAAATGTCTAGCTTGTTGCTAAGATAGCCATTGCTGAAAGTTTTTGAACCCAGTTTTTTTTCACATTGTTTAATTAATTTGGCTTGTGAAATTTTTATTTCAATGTAGTCTAAAATGCTTTGAAAATGAAAATATAAATAGTACTTGGTAGGCATTGAATAAAACGGAAAGAAAGACTAGCCTAGAAGAACGAAAGTAGCCATTTGTAGCTTAGACATGAAAGCCTTGGATATTAGTCAAATGTATTGGCAAATTTTATTTGATTATACCATAAGGTATCCATGACAACATGTAAATATTGACATCAAGTTGTTCGACTTTTTCATTCTTCACCAATCATTGCTGTTTGTTGTTCATTAACTCTACTTCACATATTTCACCATTCACCCTATATATATGAATATATATATATACCGGTAATCCAAGCAAGGAGTGAGAAGATGTACATTTGTGTTTATTATCATTGAAAAATTTGTTCAAAATTAAATGTCTTGATCTTAATGTATTTTATGAATTAAAGAACTTCCTTCCCAAAGCTTACTTGTGTGTGATTATAAACAGTCAGTTACAAGACCGAATAGACTGATGTCCTGTGTACAGCAACATGAACCACCAGACTGATCACTCGGAAACACCATTCTTTATTAATTTCAACAAGGATAAAATCTTATGAAGATGATTTTTTTTTTAATTAAATTTCGAAAACTTAAAAAAAAAAACAATTTGAAATGACCGTTTCAGACTTAAGATATTTGACAATAGTTACTCTATATACTGGCGATAGTTACGGACTAATTTTCATTGCAGAAGATGGTAAGGGACTAATTCCCCCAAAGGAGGATATACTTCATATACTTCATTTCCACAGAAGAGCTAAATGTGGTATTATACTTCCACAGAGGAGAACACTTAGGGACTGATACGGACTGAATTTTGAAAGAGGAGGTTAATTAATATAGACTACACCGAGTTCCACAGAGAAGGATAGTCAGAGACTATGTTCCACAGAGGAGGATAGTCAGAGATTATGTTCCAACAGAGAAGGATAGTCAGAGATTATGTTCCACAGAGGAGGATAGTCAGAGATTAGGTTCCACAGAGGGGGATAGTCAGAGATTAGGTTCCACAGAGGAGGCTAGTCAGAGATTAGGTTCCACAGAGGAGGATAGTCAGAGATTAGGTTCCACAGAGGAGGATAGTCAGAGATTAGGTTCCACAGAGGGGGATAGTCAGAGATTAGGTTCCACAGAGGAGGCTAGTCAGAGATTAGGTTCCACAGAGGAGGATAGTCAGAGATTAGGTTCCACAGAGGGGGATAGTCAGAGATTAGGTTCCACAGAGGAGGATAGTCAGAGATTAGGTTCCACAGAGGGGGATAGTCAGAGATTAGGTTCCACAGAGGAGGCTAGTCAGAGATTAGGTTCCACAGAGGAGGATAGTCAGAGATTAGGTTCCACAGAGGAGGATAGTCAGAGATTAGGTTCCACAGAGGAGGATAGTCAGAGATTATGTTCCAACAGAGGAGGATATTGATTAGGACTGATTTCGACAAAGGAGGATAGATTTTGAGTTTTACGTTTACAAAAAGGAGGAAAACAAGTGACTATATTTCCACAGAGGAGGAAAGCAAGGGATTAATTCCCACAGAAGTGTTTAATAAATGGACTATTTCCCACAAAGAAGGATAGTAAGGGACCAGAGGAGGATAGTCGGAGGCTATGTTCCACAGAGGAGGATAGTCAGAGATTATGTTCAACAGAGGAGGATAGTCAGAGACTATGTTACACAGAGGAAGATAGTCGGAGATTATGTTCCAACAGAGGAGGATAGTCAGAGATTATGTTCCGCAGAGGAGGATAGTCGGAGATTATGTTCCACAGAGGAGGATAGTCGGAGGCTATGTTCCACAGAGGAGGATAATCAGGGATTATGTTCCACAGAGGAGGATAGTCAGAGACTATGTTCCACAGAGGAAGATAGTCAGAGATTATGTTCCACAGAGGAGGATAGTCAAAAGAGGAGGTTAATTAATATAGACTACACCGAGTTCCACAGAGAAGGACAGTCAGAGACTATGTTCCACAGAGGAGGATAGTCGGATACTATGTTCCACAGAGGAGGATAGTCGGAGAATATGTTCCACAGAGGAGGATAGTCGGAGACTATGTTCCAACGGAGGAGCATATTGATTAGGACTGATTTCGACAAAGGAGGATAGATTTTGAGTTTTACGTTTACAAAAAGGAGGAAAACAAGTGACTATATTTCCACAGAGGAGGAAAGCAAGGGATTAATTCCCACAGAAGTGTTTAATAAATGGACTATTTCCCACAAAGAAGGATAGTAAGGGACCAGAGGAGGATAGTCGGAGGCTATGTTCCACAGAGGAGGAGAGTCAGAGATTATGTTCCAACAGAGAAGGATAGTCAGAGATTATGTGCCACAGAGGAGGATAGTCAGAGATTATGTTCCAACAGAGAAGGATAGTCAGAGATTATGTGCCACAGAGGAGGATAGTCAGAGATTATGTTCAACAGAGGAGGATAGTCAGAGACTATGTTACACAGAGGAAGATAGTCGGAGATTATGTTCCAACAGAGGAGGATAGTCAGAGATTATGTTCCAACAGAGGAGGATATTGATTAGGACTGATTTCGACAAAGGAGGATAGATTTTGAGTTTTACGTTTACAAAAAGGAGGAAAACAAGTGACTATATTTCCACAGAGGAGGAAAGCAAGGGATTAATTCCCACAGAAGTGTTTAATAAATGGACTATTTCCCACAAAGAAGGATAGTAAGGGACCAGAGGAGGATAGTCGGAGGCTATGTTCCACAGAGGAGGATAATCAGGGATTATGTTCCACAGAGGAGGATAGTCAGAGACTATGTTCCACAGAGGATGATATTCGGGAGACTATGTTCCACAGAGGAGGATAGTCGGGAGACTATGTTCCACAGAGGAGGATAGTCTGAGACTATGTTCCACAGCGGAGGATAGTCGGAGACTATGTTCCACAGAGATGGATAGTCAGAGACTATGTTCCAACAGAGGGGGATAGTCAGAGATTATGTTCCACAGAGGAGGAAAGTCAGAGATTATGTTCCACAGAGGAGGATAGTCGGAGATTATGTTCCACAGAGGAGGATAGTCGGAGACTATGTTCCACAGAGGAGGATAGTCAGAGATTAGGTTCCACAGAGGAGGATAGTCAGAGATTATGTTCCAACAGAGGAGGATATTGATTAGGACTGATTTCGACAAAGGAGGATAGATTTTGAGTTTTACGTTTACAAAAAGGAGGAAAACAAGTGACTATATTTCCACAGAGGAGGAAAGCAAGGGATTAATTCCCACAGAAGTGTTTAATAAATGGACTATTTCCCACAAAGAAGGATAGTAAGGGACTATTTCCAATGAGATGGAAAGTAAGGGACTAATTTCCACAAAGGTGGATAGTTTGGGACTAATTTCCACAGAGAAGGATAGTAAAGGGAGTATTTCCAACAGAGGTAGATAGTAAGGGACTATTTCCCACAGAGGAGGATAGCTGAGACTATTTCCCACAAGGGTGAATAGTTAAATATTTCAAGCGACTTCTTAATAACTACTAGGCCTGGTGACAGATTGGCAGGCTGGGGTTTTAAGACCATCGAGATTGTGGAAAAATATCTCTGCCGATATTCAATGTTATAGAGGTAATTAGTTGAATACGTCAAACCCTTTCTGAGGCAAAATGTTTTCCATGATCACCATATGACAGGTGACCGATACAGGCCTTTCCGACTGTTTTAGTTTACAGCACTTGACTGCCGTGAAATTCGTGGATTACACAAAAAAAAAATGCACTTAAGACGATGCATTTAAGCAGATATCCTTAACTGTTGTTCCGGGTATCTGTTTTACGACAGTAATAAAATATATATAAGCACACTTGTTAAAATAACCAGAACCCGAGGTACATTTTGTAATTGACATTATGCATCAACTTGCATTCATAAGCATATTGATATTCATTTATTCATGAAAGCTCCAAAAGAATTAGTTTATATACAAATACATGTAGAATGAACGATGTAATAATATGTTGAGTATATTTCCTTACAAAACCTTTAGTAAGGTGAAGAGATATATCGGAAGCTGGGATCGATGTCGACAGTCTGACCATCGCCCACTTATCTATAACGACAGCACTAATTAGCGGTATCTGATTTAGCAGTCCCGAGGCGTCAATTTCCCCTACATCCTACGAGATCTATAACGACCTGTCTTAATTGTCCGTCCAAGGTCATTAACGTGGGGCTAATTACCAGTTAGTCGCCTCAGAGGTGTCCGAAGTGTCCGAACCATTTCCAGCATTTGACCATGTTACTAATAAGCTGTCAGTGACATGTGTTTGTAGGGGCGAGGCAATGATCGCCAGCAGGTCGGTAACTACAAGCTTAAGTGTGCACGTGTAACGCTATACAATATGTACCTAACGTACACGCGGAGTCTATTGTAGTCTATTCTTTAACATCAGCGTGTGTAGAACAATATCAGCCACCATGTGGTTTTCATCTATTTCACATAGTACTTCTTCCTAAACACTCGACAGAAAAGTTACACAATTTGTAATTGACCATTTCGAAAACTTAAGTCCGTTCCAAAAGTTTTGGCACAATTTTCAACTTTTTGACGTCATTTTATGCTGTATTGCTGGCATAGTTCAACTTTTGTTCATTTCGTGTAGCTAGCGGGCTATTTTGTAACGTCAATCAAATTATTTATAATCAAGGCTCAAACTTCATCATTGAAATGATAGGCCACAATCGGTATCCCGTCACTGGGTGAAGTTTCGACACATACATCTTAACATCTCGACGTGTATGAACCTATTTGTCTGTATGATCATGGAATGAGATGAAATCTATATAAGTCTGTGGTATGATCTGACATGAATATTATTCCTCAACCCGTGCAACTGTCTAAATGTGAAAATAGCGGGCCGCGTTGGATGCAATCGGGAAACGTCGACACTTTCCGTAAACAAGAAAATATACTTATATCTCTTCTCTTTTACGGAAAGTGCCGACGGTTCCCGATTGCGTTGGATGTTGTCGTGCGCAACTCGGATGCGCCAACGTCTTAAAAACGCTTATTGGAATTAAAATTTCTACGCAACTCAATAGTGAGTACAAAGATGGCGTGAATCTAACAACTATAAACACCCCACCCTAAAACAATAACGGCCAAAACGGGACCAAAGCAAAACTAGCACCAATACCATCACAGCTCAATAACTAAATAAAATAAATATATCAAATAAAAGGTGAACAAGGGATCAAAGTTCAAGTGTCACGGTAAAGCTTGTCCACAACAACTAACTTTCTGCACCCCAAGGCCAATGTCAAGGTCAGAGCAACGTAATTCGATTCTAGTCTGGAAGAATGATGTTGATTACCAAAACAGAATATGCACATATTGCGATACCCAAGATATTGGTGACGAATTTCACTACTTGTAAAAATGTCACTCTCTGTCTACAGAAAGGAAGTTATATTTATTCAAATACTAATATGTAATGCCAAATATACAAAAGATGTTAAAATTTTAAGAAATTTATGCAAATTCATCAAAATTTTGTTTAAAATTATCATGATTTGTCCTCCATATATATTACATTTGATAATGTATATTGTTGTAAATATGTTTTCTCTGTAAATTTATGATTTCGTAAAGAGAAATAAAGTTGAAAGGAAAACAACTTCTCCAGGGCTTTCAACTGATTATCATGAGAGGCGAGTATGTTACATAACACTATATATGTCGTCCGTTATCAAAGGTAAAAGTAACAGAAAAAGGTCAAAGTTCACACCACCGTAATATTTGGTTGAGCATAAACTATCTAACAACACAGAAAGTCATTTGATGAAACACCATCACGGCTGAACGATAAATATTTCAGAGTTACGTTATCATCACTGAATGGTGTGTCGCATGATATATATGTGGGTATTAAGGTTTACCAGTGGTAGTATAGGGTTTACCAGTGGTAGTATAGGGTTTACCAGTGGTAGTATAGGGTTTACCAGTGGTAGCATAAGGTTTACCAGTGTTAGTATATGGTTTGCCAGTGGAAGTATAGGGTTTACCAGTGGTAGCATAAGGTTTAACAGTAGGAGTATAAGGTTTACCAGTGGTAGTATAAGGTCAACACAGACCATACGAATGTCCACTCATTGTAGCAACAAGTACGACTTGAAATAATCGATGCTGGATGGTTTATGGAATCTTACATTGTAGGATTTCCCACGCAGCTGTTCGAGTTCCATCTAATTTTCGGGCGTGCCCGAGGTCAAGTCTGACACCTATATATATTGTTAACGAACATCATCCCTTCCTTTCCGTCTTCAGCTCGAGCGGGATGTCTTGTTTCATCTGCAGCCGTTCTCGTCTGGGCTTGATCGGACACCTCGTTTGATATAAACCGACAATTTTATAATTATGTACATCAACATTGCTTCAAATAATTTATACTGTACGCAATCTTTACTCACAGAAAACAAAACAAAACAGAAGTCAGATATGTCGCTGGCTGTAACACTATCAGAAATACAGCAAGAGACCCAATGGGCCTGCATCGCTCACCTAGTATTAATCTCACACTTGCAACCGTAAAAGTGGACTTAAATAAAGCCACCGGCAAAATATCAGTATTTGTGACTTCAAGTCATTCGAAAGAACCTTTTCAAATATTTAAACACATTTGACCTCTGTGACCTTGAAAGCCAAACAAGGTCATTCCGTTGAATACACTTTATGGCCCTCATCTAAGCATGCTACTGGCAAAATATCATCACCCTATGCTTTTGGGTTGTTCGATGAAGCTGTTAAAAAGATTTCAACACATTTGACCACTGTGAACTTAAATATGAGTTAAGGTCATTAAGCAAAACAAGCGACGTAATTTATTATCTAAGCATGTAACTGTCAACATATCATCATTCCCAGCCTGCTGGTTATTCAGAAGAATTTGGAAGATTTTAACATATTTGATCCATGTGGCCTTGAAACTGGGCGAAGGCCATTCATTTGAACAGGCTTGGTAGTCCTTCATCCCAGCATGCTACTTGCCAAATATCGTCATCATACGCCTTTGGGCCATATGAGCTAAAACAGAATACATGTCGCTAGCTGTAACACTATCAGAAAAACAACAACAGAAGATGTGTCGCTAGCTGTAACACTATCAGAAATACAAAGCATAAGGTGTGTCGCTAGCTGTAACACTATCAGATACACAAAGCATATGATGTGTCGCTGGCTGTAACACTATCAGATACACAAAACATAAGATGTGTCGCTGGCTGTAACACTATCAGATACACAAAACATAAGATGTGTCGCTAGCTGTAACACTATCAGATACACAAAACATAAGATGTGTCGCTAGCTGTAACACTATCAGATACACAAAACATAAGATGTGTCGCTAGCTGTAACACTATCAGATACACAAAACATAAGATGTGTCGCTAGCTGTAACACTATCAGATACACAAAACATAAGATGTGTCGCTAGCTGTAACACTATCAGATACACAAAACATAAGATGTGTCGCTAGCTGTAACACTATCAGATACACAAAACATAAGATGTGTCGCTAGCTGTAACACTATCAGATACACAAAACATAAGATGTGTCGCTAGCTGTAACACTATCAGATACACAAAACATAAGATGTGTCGCTAGCTGTAACACTATCAGAAATACAAAACATAAGATGTGTCGCTAGCTGTAACACTATCAGAAATACAAAACAAAAGATGTGTCGCTAGCCGTAACACTATCAGAAATACAAAACATAAGGTGTGTCGCTAGCCGTAACACTATCAGATACACAAAACATAAGATGTGTCGCTGGCTGTAACACTATCAGATACACAAAACATAGGATGTGTCGCTAGCTGTAACACTATCAGAAATTCAAAGCATAAAATGTGTCGCTAGCTGTAACACTATCAGATACACAAAATACAAGATGTGTCGCTAGCTGTAACACTATCAGAAATAAAAAGCATAAGATGTGTCGCTAGCCGTAACACTATCAGAGATACAAAACAAAAGATGTGTCGCTAGCTGTAACACTATCAGAAATACAAAGCATAAGATGTGTCGCTAGCCGTAACACTATCAGAAATACAAAAAATAGGATGTGTCGCTAGCTGTAACACTATCAGATACACAAAATACAAGATGTGTCGCTAGCTGTAACACTATCAGAAATACAAACAAAAGATGTGTCGCTAGCCGTAACACTATCAGAAATACAAAAAATAGGATGTGTCGCTAGCTGTAACACTATCAGAAATTCAAAGCATAAAATGTGTCGCTAGCTGTAACACTATCAGATACACAGCATAAGATGTGTCGCTAGCTGTAACACTATCATATATACAAAACATAAGATGTGTCGCTGGCTGTAACACTATCAGATACACAAAGCATAAGATGTGTCGCTAGCTGTAAAACTATCAGATACACAAAACATAAGATGTGTCGCTGGCTGTAACACTATCAGATACACAAAACATAGGATGTGTCGCTAGCTGTAACACTATCAGATACACAAAGCATAAGATGTGTCGCTAGCTGTAACACTATCAGAAATACAAACAAAAGATGTGTCGCTAGCCGTAACACTATCAGAAATACAAAACATAAGATGTGTCGCTAGCTGTAATACTATCGGATACACAAAACATAAGATGTGTCGCTAGCCGTAACACTATAAGAAATACAAAACATAAGGTGTGTCGCTAGCTGTAACACTATCAGATACACAGCATAAGATGTGTCGCTAGCTGTAACACTATCAGAAATACAAAACATAAGGTGTGTCGTTAGCTGTAACACTATCAGATACACAAAACATAAGATGTGTCGCTATCTGTAACACTATCAGATACACAAAACATAAGATGTGTCGCTAGCTGTAACACTTTCAGATACACAAAACAAAAGATTGCGCTAGCTTTTGGTGGCTTTTGAAAAACGAGCAACAAGTCGTCAGGGGATTACTCATACCCGCTGTCCTAATCTGACGCCGCGAAATGTGATTTTTGATAAACATATATTTATTTCTAAGTGTGTATGATCAGGTTAGAATGTGTACCAAAACCCATTTTCAATAGCTAAGAGACACAGCAGCACGCTATAAGGAGATTTTATAGGTGTGAGGTCAGTGTATTAAAACCTGTTGGAATCCATCATAATTGAGCGAGAATTACAGTATCGATTTCTACCTGTAAAATGTTTACCGAAGACTCGTTCACGAACCTATCTGTCCTACCTGGGCCTAGATGTCAGCATCTGCATCAATACTGAGATTATAGAGTGTTTTCTCATACTCAAATCCCCATGTTACCATTAAACCAATGCGCTACCTGAGAGTTCGATTATCGCTCCTTATTGCGTAGCAACCGCCAGTTAAGCTTGGATCTACAGAAAAGTGGTGTTCAAGAAGCAACACAGAGCTTTGTCTCCTACAGAGAAATCGACAGCTTTTTAGGCGAGTTTTGTTTGTAATTAATTGCAATTAACAGTGAAGTAGATTACGCCAGTGAGAGCAGAATGAAGGATGTATACAACATGGTAAGTTTGCATTTGGATTATTTTCAATGGTAAAAACGATGGCAACCGCCATTTTGTTTTATGACAGCTCTGAAGCAGTTGTATGAGTGTCGTAGGTGTGAAAGTGTTTGTCAATCAATCCTTAACTTCTACCTGTGTGTATCCTACCTGTGTGTTAGACGTGTATCCGACCTGTGTGTTAGACGTGTATCCTACCTGTGTGTATCCTACCTGTGTGTTAGACGTGTATCCTACCTGTGTGTTAGGCGTGTATCCTACCTGTGTGTTAGACGTGTATCCTCCCTGTGTGTTAGACGTGTATCCTACCTGTGTGTTAGGCGTGTATCCTACCTGTGTGTTAGACGTGTATCCGACCTGTGTGTTAGACGTGTATCCTACCTGTGTGTAGGACGTATATCCTACCTGTGTGTTAGACGTATATCCTACCTGTGTGTTAGGCGTATATCCTACCTGTGTGTTAGACGTGTATCCTACCTGTGTGTTAGGCGTGTATCCTACCTGTGTGTTAGACGTGTATCCTACCTGTGTGTTAGACGTGTATCCTACCTGTGTGTAGGACGTATATCCTACCTGTGTGTTAGACGTGTATCCTACCTGTGTGTATCCTACCTGTGTGTTAGACGTGTATCCTCCCTGTGTGTTAGACGTGTATCCTACCTGTGTGTATCCTACCTGTGTGTTAGACGTGTATCCTCCCTGTGTGTTAGACGTGTATCCTACCTGTGTGTTAGGCGTGTATCCTACCTGTGTGTTAGACGTGTATCCTTCCTGTGTGTTAGACGTGTATCCTACCTGTGTGTTAGGCGTGTATCCTACCTGTGTGTTAGACGTGTATCCGACCTGTGTGTTAGACGTGTATCCTACCTGTGTGTTAGACGCGTATCCTACCTGTGTGTTAGACTTATATCCTACCTGTGTGTTAGACGTGTATCCTACCTGTGTGTTAGACGTATATTCTACCTGTGTGTTAGACGCATATCCGACCTGTGTGATAAACGTATCTTACCTGTATCCTACCTGTGTGGTAAACACATATCCTACCTCTAGGTATACGTATATCCTACCTGTTTGGTATACGTATATCCTACCTGCTTGGTATATGTATCCTACCTGTGTGGTGTGCATACCTCCTACCTGTGTGGTATACGTATACGTATATCCTACCTGTATGATATACATACATGTATATCCTACATGTATGGTATACGCATATCCTACTTGTATGGTATACGTATATCCTACTTGTGTGGTATACGTAAATCGTACCTGTGTGGTACACGCATCTTATCTGTGTGGTAAACACATATATCCTACCTGTGTGGTATTCATATATCCTACCTGTATGGTATACGTATATTCTACCTGTGTGGTATACGTATCTTACTTGTATGGTATACATATATCTTACCTGTGTGGTATACATCTATCCTACCTGTATGGTATACGTATATCCTACCTGTTTGGTATACGTATATCCTAACTGTGTTGTGTGCATACGTCCTACCTGTGTGGTATACATGTATCCTACCTGTGTGGTATATATGTGTCCTACATGTGTTGTATACATATGTCCTACATGTGTTGTATACATATGTTCTACTTGTGTGGTATACATGTATCCTACCTGTGTGGTGTGCATATGTCCTACCTGTGTGGTGTGGAGAGCGAGTTATGTTAGCAAGATTTCAAGATTTCAAGATTTTTATTTCACTCAGACACACATAATATGTGTAACAAGAGGTCATGTATATATAACATAGTTTGAGTGCATGACAGGCAAACATTCTATACCATAGCATAGTACATAAAAATATATATACGTGTAGTTACATACAAATAATTCAGTGTTCAACTTATAAAAATGTCACTAGCAAACAAAAGAAAAACTTAAAGAATAGAGACACTAAAGTACTTTTGTTAATTTTTGAACAAATAAGCTTACACTTTTTAACAATTTCATATTAAAGATTGTGAACATTCCTTTCATTTTATGTTGGTTTGGACTTGTATAAAAATAGGCCGGAATATGTTTTTCCCTTATTTTGACTAAAGTGTCGTTATTACAAGTATATAAGTAATGATACTCGTCCCCAATACCAGTATTACAAAGTGGGCATATTCTGTCCTGTCTTTGAATTCCCACCCATCTTCCTGTTTCTACTGGAAGCTTAATATTTGAAGTTCTAAATTTGCAGATAATTTTCCTATCTTTTGCGTTTAATCTGATCAAATAGTCTTCTAAACCAAAGCGATATTTAAATGTAGAGTATAATCGTCCTCTGGATGAGGTGTCAATTTTATTAAACCAGGATTGAATAAACTGATCGTGTAATTTATGTATAATTGCAGCTTTTAAATAAGTAATATCGGGCAGACAGGTTTTTTGATGGATCCAAACATAGCTTAGACCTACGCTATCCAGGATATGTTTAACATAGTTCAACCATTTAAACTCGATTTGTCCATTTTCATGTAATGAGTACATCAATTTGTACATTCGACTAGACAACTTATTTTCACTCGAGGTAAGTGTATACCAAAATTTAATCATTCTTAATTTGACATCAACCTCAATAGGGTATCTGCCCGTTTCTCCATATACCATAAAATTACAAGTATTTCTGCGTAGACCAAGAATTCGTTTACAGAATTGGAGGTGTATTTTTTCAAGTATACTAACATCCTCATGGCCCCATATTTCTGATGAGTATAGCAAAATTGGAGCAACTAGCGAGTCAAACAATTTGAATTGTAAATCAACGGGTAACGAAACATTTCTTATTTTCTTATATACGGCATATAGTGCTTTTTGGGCCTGTTCCGCTAATTGCTTTTTTAGCACATTTATATTAAAATAAAAATTTAGCGTTCTAACTTTTTATTCAAGCGCAGCACTTCAGAAATCGTATACTCCTTTATTGAGCCATGAATACACATTAGAGCGAACATAAAAACACTACTGAAATGAATCAGTGACAGTACAGGTGTCAGAGTGTTGAGGTGTCTGTGATAATTGGTTCAAATCAAACATTTTAGTCGATTGGTGGTGTCAGCGAATTTGTTCACTGTGACGTCATACATAACAAAGTATCGTTACGCTTTTCTTTGAGCCAGTGTAACAAACGTAACGTACCACAAACGTAGTACTGTACACACGCATCATGCCATTGCGCAACGTAACGTACCACAAACGTAGTACTGTACACACGCATCATGCCATTGCGCAACGTAACGCAATGTACTACACTGTTATATTACCGTGGCGATACGCTAAACGCAATACTGCGCTGTGATCTCCTACACCACTGCCGATCTGTCATAATGGTCGTCTGCCGCCTCTCCGACACACCGGCGGTGTAGAGGAATTAGCTACAGAGAAATAACTATAATTAGCGTCATTATCTGGCAAGATGAAATCTTAGGAAAGTTTAATGCGGTGAATTCCCAAAAGTGAATTTCCATCGTATTTGAGGGTTAAATCACCAGCTAACGTGTAAATTAAACCCAAGAAGGACGCGCGAATATGTTCAAAATCAGATTACGAAACCCTTCTAATATCATGTTGACATGTTTTGAGAATTCAAACACATGCGCAATCTGATTGTGCAATGCCAAGAATTTAAAAGCTGTTACTATTAGTTTCCCGATATTGGTGATAATAGAGTGGTGACGCCATTAAATTGAATAATCATTTAATTGATGGAAACAATTGGTCTAGAAAAATTGCTGAGCTAGTGCTTTTTGTGTACCAATTATCTCGATATGTCATTTTGTTTCTCGAATTCTTGATAACTTAACTAATGATAAAAGAATAAACAGATTTTTTTCAGCATGACTTAAAGATTTTGTAAATTACCTCTGAAAAGAAAACCAGGCCTTGCGGGAATTTATGAAAAGTAATTAAGATGAAATAAACAAAATATATTTAACATAGTGTTTTGAGCGTAAAAAAATCAGTGTGGCTAGACCGGGATTCCAACCCCGGATTTCAGGTTGTTATACTATTGATTTAACCGATCGAGTTACCTGGTCATCGGGAGTGTCCGGTCCCGACTGTTCTACAGTTTTATCAAAAACGGAAGATAAAGGGAGGTTACTGTGTATATAAAAATCAAAGAGAGGAAAGGATCCTCAAAGTCCGTTATAACAAGCTTTTTGACAACAATAACAATTGGCATCTTCTTAAGAACCCTAAGGCCAAGCGTCATATCGATGGGATGGGTACAAGTAAACATGTAAAAGAAATGACCTTGCCATTCATTTGAGGTCACAAAACAATAGAGCAATAGGTATGGCAACACGCAAGACCCATTAAATATACTAAGTATAGCTACAAGACACGTCATAGAACAATAGGTATAGCTACACGACATATCATCAAACAATAGGCATAGCTACACGACATATCATAGAACAATAGGTATAGCTACAAGACACGTCATAGAACAATAGGTATAGCTACACGACATATCATAGTACAATAGGTATAGCTACACGACATATCATAGTACAATAGGTATAGCTACACGACATATCATAGAATAATAGGTATAGCTACAAGACATATCATAGAACAATAGGTATAGCTACAGGACATATTAGGTATAGCTACAGGACATATCATAGAACAATAGGGATAGCAACAAGACACGTCATAGAACAAAAGGTATAGCTACAAGACATATCATAGTACAATAGGTATAGCGACAGGACATCTCATAGTACAATAGGTATAGCTACAGGACATATCATAGTACAATAGGTATAGCTACACGACATATCATAGAATAATAGGTATAGCTACAAGACATATCATAGAACAATAGCTATAGCTACAGGACATATCATAGAACAATAGGGATAGCAACAAGACACGTCATAGAACAAAAGGTATAGCTACAGGACATATCATAGAACAAAAGTTATAGCTACAGGACATATCATAGAACAATAGCTATAGCTACACGACATATCATAGAACAATAGGTATAGCTACAGGACATATCATAGTACAATAGGTATAGCTACAGGACATATCATAGTACAATAGGTATAGCTACACGACATATCATAGAACAAAAGGTATAGCTACAGGACATATCATAGAACAATAGCTATAGCTACAGGACATATCATAGAACAAAAGTTATAGCTACAGGACATATCATAGAACAATAGGTATAGCAACAAGACACGTCATAGAACAAAAGGTATAGCTACAGGACATATCATAGAACAATAGGTATAGCTACACGACATATCATCAAACAATAGGTGTAGCTACAGGACATATCATAGAACAATAGGCATAGCAACAAGACATATCATAGTACAATAGGTATAGCTACAGGACATATCATAGTACAATAGGTATAGCTACAGGACATATCATAGAACAAAAGGTATAGCTACACGACATAACATAGAACAATAGGTATAGCTACACGACATATCCTAGAACAATAGGTATAGCTACACGACATATCTTAGAACAATAGGTATAGCTACACGACATATCATAGAACAATAGGTATAGCAACAAGACATATCATAGTACAATAGGTATAACTACACGACATATCATAGAACAATAGGTATAGCAACAAGACACGTCATAGAACAAAAGGTATAGCTACAGGACATATCATAGACCAATAGGTATAGCTACACGACATATCATCAAACAATAGGTATAGCTACACGACATATCATCAAACAATAGGTGTAGCTACAGGACATATCATAGAACAATAGGCAAAGCAACAAGACATATCATAGTACAATAGGTATAGCTACACGACATATCATAGAACAAAAGGTATAGCTACACGACATATCATAGAACAAAAGGTATAGCTACAAGACATATCATAGTACAGTAGGGATAGCTACAGGACATATCATAGAACAAAAGGGATAGCTACAGGACATATCATAGAACAAAAGGGATAGCTACAGGACATATCATAGAACAAAAGGTATAGCTACACGACATATCATAGAACAATATGTGTAGCTACAGGACATATCATAGAACAATAGGCATAGCAGCAAGACATAACATAGTACAATAGGTATAGCTACAGGACATATCATAGAACAATAGTTATAGCTACAAGACATATCATAGTACAATAGGTATAACTACACGACATATCATCAAACAATAGGTATAGCTACACGACATATCATAGTACAATAGGGATAGCTACAGGACATATCATAGAACAATAGTTATAGCTACTCGACATATCATAGAACAATAGGTATAGCTACAGGACATATCATAGAACAATAGTTATAGCTACTCGACATATCATAGAACAATAGGTATAGCTACAAGACACGTCATAGAACAATAGGTATACCTACACGACATATCATAGAACAATAGTTATAGCTACTCGACATATCATAGAACAATAGGTATAGCTACAGGACATATCATAGAACAAAAGGTATAGCTACAGGACATATCATAGAACAATAGTTATAGCTACAAGACATATCATAGTACAATAGGTATAGCTACAAGACATATCATAGTACAATAGGTATAGCTACAAGACATATCATAGAACAATAGCTATAGCTACACGACATATCATAGAACAATAGGAATAGCTACACGACATATCATAGTACAATAGGTATAGCTACAGGACATATCATAGAACAATAGTTATAGCTACAGGACATATCATAGTACAATAGGTATAGCTACACGACATATCATAGTACAATAGGTATAGCTACACGACATATCATAGAACAATAGGTATAGCTACACGACATATCATAGAACAATAGGTATAGCTACACGACATATTTTAGAACAATAGTGACGGCTACAAGACGTTTCATAGAATAAAAGGATCATCGTTCGGAAATCCTCTTGTGAAAATGTTAATGTGAATTATCTCTCATCTTGTAATAATTCGTTTGCACTTAGTAAATCATTTCTCCCGGCCTTATCTGTTGGGCTGTGAAACTGTGGAGATATTTACGATTTATCAAAAAGGTAATTTCTTGTCTCTCCATCTTCAGAGAGAAACACTGTAATGGAAATGTGATCACCGACATTTTTATCGATCAGATCGTCAAAGACAGAGACAAGCGAACGCATCTGGAGATAAAAACATCTGATGTGAAAGATATGTACCAGGACATCGAACGCAATTATTTTTTGTGTTAAAATTTGTATATATATATATATGTAAATATATCAAGAGTAAATATTTTAATCTTTAAAAAAGGGTAATAAAACAACAACCTTTCCACAGGGGCACAGGCCTGTTAAATCGGGGAAATATCACACACACTCAAAGCATGATTTTGGGAAAATCAAGTGATTTTTGCATTGTTTTGAGGGGGAAAAGGCAGAAATTAGCCAGAGAATAAGACATTTATAAGGTCCTTAATTGGCCTTTAAGGTCAGCCTCACTATAAATTTGAACCCCACCAATAGAAAATGTTTCCAACATAATAATTTTGATATTCATAGAAGAAGTAGTCATTTTATTTTTCGCCCCGCTTCTCAGCACCAGTCCCTCCCCACCCCCAAAACTGGAAGATCAACCCCTCCAATTGCACAGTTTTGTTACCTCCTAAGGAATGCTTCCGACCAAAAATGATAGATTTCCATCTAACGGTTGAATTTACCACAAATGATATAACATTAAAAAATCGAAATAAAGTTTGATAAATATGTAAAGGTTTTGACTTGTTTTGTTACTAATGTCGAAAAACCTCATTTGAGCTTAACATCGAAATATATACGTCTCTTTGGACGTTGTGATTTGATGAAAGTTTCATCATATTAGTTGTGTCTAATACCTTGTGCTTCACCTAATAATCTAGTACTCCTTTTCTCGACCAACCATCGCAAAGCTCTTTCCTCAAACTGCCACCTCGGAGCTGATCTAGCAGAGACAGAACCGGGTAATCTGTAGAATGGATTGTTTGATGATAAATTGTGTGCTTATTGATCTTAGAGACTGACCAGTCACGTGATGCCCTTATGGAATCGGAGGGATCCTCTATTTATGAAACCATGAACCTTGTGCAAACATTTTGATCGTAAATTACATTGTATATTGATGTGAACTGGCCAAGACAAACCAATATAAGCCGTGGGATCATACCGATGATTTTGTTTAAGTTAACTATATACGACGTCTATATCTCTATTAGGTACTTGTATTGTGTACATACTTGAAATTTTACGTGACATTTTCGTAATCTGTCCGATTCTTCGAAATCCAAGTGCTGCACTCTCGATACAAATCCTCTTCTGCACAGAGACGAAAGAGAAACTGTTTGTACTTTTTTGTTTGATTGATTCATTTAATGCGCTTAAAATGTCATTTCAAACAAACAATTGGAGGAATGCTACAGTTTTTTTCTCCTCGGCGACAGATGCCATGAAGGCGAGATATATATAGAAAAATATCACACACATGTGTGTTCATCTGACGTCTAACATATTGCACGAGTTTATTACGCGCGCGTGGATATATTTCACGGTAGTTTCAGGCAGAGTGAAAACTACTGTATTTATTAGTGTAATCAATGAGTGCACCCTAAAACGTCACACGAACACATATAGAATTGCTTGCAGTGTTGTTGTTTTTTCGCGGATTATTCACAGTTATAAAATATAAAAGAAATTTCACTTTCATTCATTCATATCTTTATTCCTTCAAACATGAAACAGTTGTATTAAATACGTATATCGTGGTAGGAACAACATCATGTGTGGTAATTCCCTCGGGATTTGTTCGTTGTAGTTTCGGCTTCGGACTATGGGCGGCGTAGGTCTGTAACTGTTTACCTGTCGCGTTTATGTGTGTAAGTAAATGTAACTCTGTTTAAACTTTCCGATGTTGGAAACATCCAGAGTAATCCCCTTTATTATTTTGATCGCTGCGAGCACATCGAAAATCCTTGTCAGTTTTAGTTTCGTAAAATTGATCTAACGTGAACATGGTGTGGTCTACTCGTGTAACTCATTTACCCCTGAATTTTCATAATGAACTATTCCAACCTTTGAAATGGAAGAGTTCAAGTTGTCTTCAGGGGTGAATGTATTAAACTAAATTCTAATAATGATAAAAAAATGAGGACAATGACAATCGGTAAGCTTGGTTTATGTTATGGGAGAGAACTCGAATGACAAAGGTTTATTGAAAAAGTCTTGAAAAGTTTGGAGTTAAGCTCGCATTCTTGAGAAGTGGGAGTCCTAGACCAACATAGTATTAACTTTAGATAACATTGGATAGAACAGCTTACTCCAAGCATCAGATGCCGTGTGAGGGCAAACGTGTTGTTTTTTGCATAATCCAGCAACACGGTCCGCGATATCATGTTTTCTGACACTCATTGCTGTTGATAGTCAATGCAGGTACCAACAAAGCATATGTAATTCAACAGAATTTTGTAAAAAAACACTGTCCTCTTTATGATCCACAGGAGCAGTTTGAGACGATCCTCCGAGAGGCAGGAAACAAACTGGTAGTTGTGGACTTCAAAGCCACCTGGTGTGGTCCATGTAAGGCCATCGGACCTGTATACAAGGTAACAGTGTATACATTGACATGTAAGGCCGTCGGACCTTTATACAAGGTAACAGGGTAGACATTGACATGTAATTATAAGACCATCGGACATGTATACAAATGGTTGATGTATATTATTATGACGACAGAGGTTTATTACTATGGTGACGGAGGTTGATGTATATTACGGAAACAAACTGGTAGTTGTGGACTTCAAAGCCCCCTGGTGTGGTCCATGTATGGCCATCGGACCTGTATACAGGATAACAGTGTAGACATTGCCATGTAAGGCAATCGGACCTGTATACAAGTTAACAGTGTAGACATTGCCATGTCAGGCAATCGGACCTGTATACAAGTTAACAGTGTAGACATTGAGATGTAAGACCATCGGACGTGTATACAAGGTAACAGCGTAGACATTGACATGTAAGTCCATCGGACCTGTATACAGGATAACAGTGTAGACATTGCCATGTAAGGCCATCGGACCTGTATACAAGGTAGCAGTGTAGACATTGACATGTAAGGCCATCGGACCTGTATACAAGATAACAGTGTAGACATTGACATGTAATTATAAGACCATCGGACATGTATACAAATGGTTGATGTATATTATTATGATGACAGAGGTTTATTACTATGGTGACAGAGGTAGATATCTATTACAATGGTGACATAGGTAGATATCTATTACAATGTTGACAGAGGTTGATGTCAATTACTATGTTGACAAAGGTAGATGTTTATTACTATGGTGACAGAGGTAGATATCTATTACGTTGGTGACAGAGGTTTATGTATATTATTATGGTGACAGAGGTTGATGTATATAACTATGGTGACAGAGGTTGATGTATATTACTATGGTGACAGAGGTTGATGTAACTTACTATGGTGACAGAGGTTGATGTTTATTACTATTGTGACAGAGGTAGATATATATTACTATGGTGACAGAGGTTGATGTATATTACTATGGTGACAGAGGTAGATATCTATTACGTTGGTGACAGTGGTAGATATCTATTACGTTGGTGACAGTGGTTGATGTATATTACGTTGGTGACAGAGGTTGATGCCTATCAATATGGTGATAGAGATCGATAACTATTAACGTTGATGACGGATGTTGATATATATTACTATGGTGACGGAGGTTGATATCTATTACTATGGTGATGGTTATTGATTTATATTACTATGGTGATGGTTATTGATTTATATTACTATGGTGACGGTTATTGGTAAAGTTTACCAAGGAGAAGGAGTATGTTTACAAAGAGCTATTGTCACTACCACGATGGTCATACCATTGAACCATATATAAAGATGTATAACACGACATTAACAATGATATTTTATTTTTTATCACATTTGTAGAATATGGCAGAAAATGAGGAGTATAAGAATGTGGTATTTTGTACAGTGGACGTTGACGAGGCTCCGGTAAGTAGGTCAAGGTAACCGACCTGTAGTTTCTTCATACAGGTAAGGTACTTTACAATGAATTTCCATTTCATTTAGGGTAGTGAGTTCTGTAGGTGTTGTACCTCCGGCAAAGAAGAGTTCATGTTAGTTCATTTACCAAAGCAACGATTTATATACGAAAGTAATTTATCCATTATTCCTTTTTTCACAAATCTCACTAACATGACCTATAGAGAGAAAATAACATCAGTTTATCTGGAAAATAATCTGTTCAATGCCTTTATACACCATACATGTTGTGGTACTTTCTACTTTAAACTTGCATAAGTCGACGACATCAATGCTAATGTAATAATTGTTAACCATATTTTATAGTGTTATATCTCTGACCAGCCTCGCGATATTTCAGACTGTCTAGCTAGGCCAGCGTTTTCTATCTGTGAGGACGTCAGACTATAAATCCCTTGTGACGCCCGTTACTTAGACTACATAAGTATTGGCCCAGACGTGATCCCGATAAGTCATATTGTACATGTCATTTTCCATCAACAGGAGGTGGCCGAGGAATACGAAGTGGAAATGATGCCAGCTTTTATGTTCTTCAAAAATGGTAAAAAGGTAAGCTGAGGTAATGTATTTAGCGGTAACGTATGTGTACGGAGGCGTCTGACGTCATACAATCCATACGTTCAGCTTCGACATTAAGTAAGTGTGATAAATACAATATATTTTTAGTTATATCAGTCGGCATCCTATGCAATCGGGAACCGTCGGCACTTTCCGTAAACGAAAACCTTTTTTTCTCGTTTGCGGAAAGTGCTGACGATTCCCGATTGTAACACAATACGCCAAGAGTGTATCACGATATATTGCAATACAGCATGAATATATTGCGATACGTATCCCGATATATTGTCATAGGAAGGATGTGCTCAATTTTATAATACAACTTGTTGTCAGAATGTTATCAAACTCAATCGTATATAATATGGATCAAATAGATTTAAGATGGTTGTCAAAATTTGAACTATTTTAAATAAAAGCCTTCTTTATGCTTATTAGCATATCTGTTAGAATTTGTAGTAATTTGCAAAGCTAAAATACCAAGCAGATACAAAAAAATGTGCTTTTGAAAAATATTTCGATACAGCAATATTTCATCTCTGTATTGTGGTATGATACGATATACCCGTGTATTACAATATACCTGTTTACCGATATATTGTGACAGCCCTGCCAGATTGCATCCAGTGTTGTTATATATGCAGTTGGACGTTGCGTGAGAAGGGAGACAACTTGTATTTTGTGAGGTCTTAATAACTTCGTTTTCTTTTCACAGATAAAAGAAATACTTGGAGCCAACAAAGACAAGATCAAGTCTTTTATTGAGGAAACAATGTAGAAACTCGTCTTCAAATTACGTCAATACCCAATACTCCATCTCATAGTCTTCTCCTCGTGAAGATAATTTGCAAACTGAAGCTAAAGTTATCTTGTAGATATAGAAACACCAACGATTATGTACATGAATGATATTTTACTGATATTCCGTCTGGATTGATATATACTTCCATGACGTCTGTTGGTGACTGTCCGTCCACACCGTACGTGTATCTGACTATATCTGTCCGTATCGTTTGTGTATGCGGCTATGTCTGTCCGTACCGAACACTTATGTGACAATGTCTGTCCGCATTTAAACCGTACTATGTAGGCATATCCGTCCGTACTGTAATTTTGTTTGACTAAATTACCGTACATGTATGTGACTTATATATGTCTGTTTACGTACGTGTATGTGTCTATATCTGTCTGTATACGTATGTACGTGTATGTGACTATATCTTTCCGATTACCGTACGTGTATGTGACTATATCTGTCTGTATGCATACGTATATGTGACTTATCCGTCCGTATCTTACATGTAAACGAACATGTCAGACCGTACCGTCAGTGTATGTGACATATGTCTGTTAGTAACGTATTTGTATGTGGTTATGTCTGTTCGTACCGTACGAGTATGTGACAATGTCTGTCCGTACCGTACGAGTATGTGACTGTCTGTCCATATCGTACGTTTATTTGGTGATGCCTGTCCGTACCGTCATTTATATGCCAAATCTGTCCGTTCCGTACGTTTATGTGGTCATGTCTGCCCGTACCGTACGAGTATGTGGTCATGTTTGTCCGTACCGTACTTGTTGGTGGCTATGTCTGTCCGTTCCGTAGTTGTATATGACCATGTCAGTCCGTACCGTACTTGTACGTGGCTATGTCCATACCATACTTGTACGTGGCTATTTCCGTACCGTACTTGTTGGTGGCTATGTCTGTCCGTACCGTACTTGTTCGTGGCTATGTCTGTCCGTACCGTTCTTGAACGTGGCTATGTCTGTCCGTACCGTACTTGTACGTGGCTGTGTCTGTCCGTACCGTACTTGTACGTGGCTGTGTCTGTCCGTACCGTACTTGTACGTGGCTATGTCTGTCCGTCCCGTACTTGAACGTGGCTATGTCTGTCCGTACCGTACTTGTGCGTGGCTGTGTTCGTACCGTCCGTGTAGCGTATATGGCCATGTATGTTAGTACCGTACGGGTATGTGGTCATGTCTGTCCGTACCGTACGTGTATGTGGTCATGTATGTCCGTACCGTACTTGTTGGTGGCTATGTCTGTCCGTACCGTACTTGAACGTGGCTATGTCTGTCCGTACCGTACTTGTGCGTGGCTATGTTCGTACCGTCCGTGTAGCGTATATGGCCATGTATGTTAGTACCGTACGTGTATGTGGTCATGTCTGTCCGTACCGTACTTGTATGTGGTCATGTCTGTCCGTACCGTATGTGTATGTGGTCATGTCTGTCCGTACCGTACGTGTATGTGGTCATGTATGTCCGTACCGTACTTGTTGGTGGCTATGTCTGTCCGTACCGAACTTGTATGTGGCTAAGTATGTCCGTACCGTACTTGTATGCGGCTATGTCTGTCCGTACCGTACTTGTACGTGGCTATGTCTGTCCGTACCGTACTTGTACGTGGTTATGTCTGTCCGAACCGTACTTGTTGGTGGCTATGACTGTCCGTTCCGTACGTGTATGTGGCTATGTCCGTACCGTACTTGTACGTGGCTATGTCTGTCCGTACCGTAGTTGTTGGTGGCTATGTCTGTCCGTACCGTACGTGTATGTGGTCATGTCTGTCCGCACCGTACGTGTATGTGGCTATGTTCGTACCGTGCGTGTAGTGTATATGGCCATGTATGTTAGTACCGTACGTGTATGTGGTCATGTCTGTCCGTCCCGTACTTGTATGTGGTCATGTCTGTCCGTTCCGTATGTGTATGTGGTCATGTCTGTCCGTACCGTACTTGTACGTGGCCATGTATGTTAGTACCGAACGTGTATGTGGTCATGTCTGCCCGTACCGCACTTGTACGTGGCTATGTCTGTCCGTACCGTATGTGTTGGTGGCTATGTCTGTCCGTACCGTACTTGAACGTGGCTATGTCTGTCCGTACCGTACTTGTATGTGGCTATGTCCGTACCTTGCGTGTAGTGTATATGGCCATGCATGTTAGTACCGTACGTGTATATGGCCATGTCTGTCCGTACCGTACGTGTATGTGGTCATGTCTGTCCGTACCGTACTTGTACGTGGCTATGTCTCTTCCGTGCGTGTAGTGTATATGGCCATGTATGTAAGTACCGTACTTGTATGTGGTCATGTATGTTAGTACCGTACGTGTTTGTGACTGTCTGTCCGTACCGTACGTGTTTGTGACTGTCTGTCCGTACCGTACGTGTATATGGCCATGTATGGCCGTACCGTACGTGTATGTGGTCATATCTGTCCGTACCGTACTTGTACGTGGCTATGTTCGTACCGTGCGTGTAGTGTATGGCCATGTATGTTAGTACCGTACTTGTATGTGGTCATGTATGTTAGTACCGTACGTGTTTGTGACTGTCTGTCCGTACCGTACGTGTATGCGGTCATGTCGGTCCGTACCGTACGTGTATGTGGTCATGTCTGTCCATACCGTACGTGTATGTGGTCATGTCTGTCCGTACCGTTCTTGTACGTGGTTATGTCTGTCCGTACCGTACTTGTATGTGATTTTTTCCTTGTGATTGTGTTTGTGTTTGTGTTTGTTCCCATGCCCGTATATCGTACATATATATGTGACTGTAATTCAATATACCTGATTTATTTCTTAGCGATAGTCATTCTGCACATGAATCACGCTACAACCATCTGTAGGGAGACAAATTATAGTGTAAATGCAAAATGAATAATATTGGCAGTTAATAGATTTATTTGTGAAAAAAATAAATATCCCTGGTTCATTTTCATTCATCGAATGGGAGAAGGTAAAACTACTGCATTTCAAATCTGATCGGTTACTTATGGTTGTCGTCTAATATTTTTGAACTTGTTGCCGACTTTGGTGTTGTCGATTTTAATCTTCTATTTTCTAATGTACATTGTAGACTTGAAATATCAAAACTTTATATTCAGAGGTCAAACTAATCTAGTAAATATAATTTTAAACGAAGGTTACAGGAGCAGATTATACAGAAATGGTTTAAAACACCTAGAGAACAAATATATTCCATTTTAGCACAAAATTTGAAATGCAAGATTATCTCCTCAAAAATTTGAAATTGTTCAACATCATTTGCATTTACCCACAGAAACAGCACGACAGATTTTTGTGTACCTACTCAGGATAGAACTTGTAACCAGCTGTGTTCTGAAGATATTGATGACGAGTATCATTGTATGTTTGTCAACACGAATTAAGGATCCCAGTACCACTGCCGAAAACTGTAACTAAGTGTTGGAGACCGTTTCTTTCGGCATTACTATAGATTTTACAAAAAAAATCTGTAAAGAAAAAACATACCTTAGAAAATTATAATAATAAAGATGAAAATAAACAAAATATAATCAACAACAGTGTTTTGAGAGTAAAATATCACCGGGCCAAGACCGGAATTCGAACCCATGACTTCAGATTGATAACCCATCGCTGTAACCGATTGCGCTACAGTGTTAACCTGTCCAGCTGTAATACAGTTAGGTCCAAACGGAAGTTAAGGGGAGGTTACTGCATACAGGTAAACACACAGTGCAGTGGGACAGGGATCCTTAATTCAAATTAGGCAGAACTTTATATGTTCCTTATAACTACTGTTCATATTCTAGTCTTACAAACAAAGGAAGGAATGTGTGTATTGTTCGTGTTCTTTTCCATGTTAGTACCTATTTTTTGAATACTCTTGAACATTTACGATTGCCCAAATCTTCATTTTTATATAAATAATTCTATCATGTGTATCTGATGTATATAAGTGAACTCTTGTTTCACGCTAATGTGTATCTAAGTGATCAATAAAACATTGAAAAATTGACTGACGTTTACTTATTAATATTTACCTGATTCGCATTTACTTGTTAATATTTACCTGACTGGCGTTTATTTGTTAATATTTACCTGGCTGGCGTTTACCTTGCTAATATGTACCTGACTGGCGTTTACTTGTCAATATTTACCTGACTGACGTTAACTTGTCAATATTTACCTGACTGACGTTTACCTTGTTAATATTTACCTGACTGGCGTTTACTTGTTAATATTTACCTGGGTGGCGTTTACCTTGCTAATATGTACCTGACTGGCGTTTACTTGTCAATATTTACCTGACTGACGTTAACTTGTCAATATTTACCTGACTGACGTTTACCTTGTTAATATTTACCTGACTGGCGTGTACCTTGTTAATATTTACCTGACTGACGTTTACCTTGTTAATATTTACCTGACTGGCGTTTACTTGTTAATATTTACCTGGGTGGCGTTTACCTTGCTAATATGTACCTGACTGGCGTTTACTTGTCAATATTTACCTGACTGACGTTAACTTGTCAATATTTACCTGACTGACGTTTACCTTGTTAATATTTACCTGACTGGCGTGTACCTTGTTAATATTTACCTGACTGGCGTTTACCTTGTTAATATTTATCTGACTGGCGTTTACTTGTCAATATTTACCTGACTGGCGTTTACCTTGTTAATATTTACCTGACTGGCGTTTACCTTGTTAATATTTACCTGACTGACGTTAACTTGTCAATATTTACCTGACTGACGTTTACCTTGTTAATATTTACCTGACTGGCGTTTACTTTAAACTTTATTTTATTATCGGTATAATATTCCAGTAATACAAACATGATATACATATAGAATTCGAAAACAAGTACAAAGTACTTATGTTAATCCGTCTTCTTTTTTTTGTATATGGAAGAGAAGAGGATGGGGGAGGAAGAAGGGAAAGAGGTGCAAAACGGTTTTAAAGAAAGTGTTGTTGGGGGTAAAATATATAGGGGAGTACGTTTACTGCATTATGCGAGGAAAAACTGGTTGGGAGTATATTTTGGATATGGACACATGTCGAGGACCGTACATGTCACTGAGGTATTCAACACACAATAAATTAATTTCATATAATGAAAACTTTCCATGCTGACCCCTGAGTATTCCGATATCCAGTGGTTAACAGCAACCTGGTGTAATTTAATATATATATATATATCCATACTGACGTGTCGTGACATACAGGGGCCGTACCATCCTCGATATCCAGGGGTTACGTTCACTTTCGCTCTATGCATCCCTGGAATAAGTCACAGCAAAATTGAAGGCTCAGTGTGCGCCACCTTGTTGATGAGACAAGAAGACTAGTTCGATCATTTGATATACATCAAAAGAATCTCGCGGTCAGGTAACGGTAAAAATTGACAGGCTTTGAAGTCGGGCGTCTCTCCTTTGTAATCTTCAAAGGACAGGTATCAGCCTAGCGACTGGTCAGTTTTTTTTTATATACATGAGACTAATCTAACAGCTATCTTCGTGCCTTCAATTTTGCTATGACATATTCCAGGGGTGTAGAGAGCGAAAGTGAGCGCAACCCCTGGATACCGAGGATTGGGTCGTACCAGTTAAGTCCAATTATGTAAACATACGTGAAATCAAAATTGAGAACTTTAAACTTAAAATCGTTTTAACTGATTAATGAAATTTTGGACACAGTCGAAAATATTCTCATTTTATTTAAAACTGGGAGATCAGGATTTCCGTACAGAAGAAGATTTACATTAAAGTCGGGAGGAAGGCTTCTGAAGCATTGTACTCTTAGTTGTTAGTATTTCGGACAGATGAAGAGGAAGTGTTCGGTAGTTTCAGCAGACTGCTTACAAGTACACCTGGGTCGATCAACTAGGTTTCGTCTATATAAATGACTAAAGAGAGAACTACTGGCCAAATCTACTGTACTTCTGCAGTAGTAATAATAAGGCGGAACAAGATGAATTTCAACATTCAAGAACTTTTTAAGATTAGTAATCGACAGGTTAGGCTTTATATCATCGGAAAGTGCATTTGCAGTTTATTTGGCAGTAATTATTTGCGTTTCTAGTGTTGTGAGAGTGCAGGTCAGAATGACGAGCAGGAAGTATGTTAGTTAGATAGGAGGGGCACTGACCATGGACAATCTTATGGAATTGTATGATTTTATGTTTTCTTCTTCGAACAGAAAGAGGATCCCAGCCAGATTCTAAATAAATTCGGTCATGATTAGTTAGTTTAGTCGCCCAATAACAATTCTGGCTGCTTCGAGCTGTATATTTTCTTATAATTGACTTTGTCCAATCGTTCTGTTGTCTCATAGGCAAATAATTGTATTATACAATTGATATCTTCAACAATGTCATTAATGAAAATTAAAAAACAACAATGGGCCTATAATTGACCCCTGAGGAACCACGGCTGTAGTAGATGCTAAATCAGACTGTTTACCATTAATAACAACTCGTTGAGACCGATTATATAAATAATTTAAGAACCAAGCAAATACATTTCCTGTTATGCCAACGTTTTCGAGTTTAGAAAGAAGACTGCGATGCTACTCTCGGTCGAACGCTTTGCTAATGTCACAGAAAACCATTCTTATTTCTTTACCTCTATCTAGAGCAGAGTAGATGTCGTTAGAAATACAGATTGTAGATATAACTTGGTTTGTAGTGGAATCGCCTGATCTTAAGCCAGACTGACAAGGAGACAAAAGAGATTTGTCAATTAAATGAGTGTAAACATATTTGTATCAACACCTTTCCATCATTTTGCCAATAATAAATAATAATAAAGATATGGGACGGTAGTTGCTTAGGAGGTATCATCGGCAAATAATTGTATTATACAGTTCACACAGGTGTGACGTTAGGCTTCTTCCATAGTGACGGGAACATGCAATCAGTAAGAGAGTAGTTAAATAAAGATTGAAGAGGATAATTTAGAATATCAGCAGCTTCCTTGATCAAACGAGGATGTATACGGTCAGCACCAACGACTTTCTTGCAGTTAAGGTTTTGTATAACATCAAGAACGTCTTGACGAGATGTAACAATGNTTAAGTAAATGTTGAAGGCATTGTTTTTTTCTTGATCGTCGTGTAGTATGTCAATGTTAATTAAAATATCAAAATATTGAATATTCCCCCTGTAACAGATTTCTGAATTCACTCCAGATCGAAGCCGTCTAGTCTTTGTGACTTCATCGTCCAAACTGACCACAACGCGCTGAAACCAAACCCACTAACATAATGATCACCCTAGAAAGACATTGAACTCAACATCAGGTTAAAGACTCATCGCGTGACTTTTAAACAACAAATAATATCAAATTATGACACTCCCACATTCTGCAAAGATGGAAGATACACAGGACAGACTGAAACATGAGACCCATTTGGCCTGCATAACTTTACACAAGTACCAGCTGTGGATGAGACAAGATGACTAATTTGATCCTTTGGTGAACATCAAAAGAATGTCGCGGTCGCCTAACGGTAAAATTGACAAGCTTTGAAGTATGGTGTCGCTCCTCTGTAATCTTGAAAGGACAGGTAGTATCCGCCTAGCGATTTGTCAGTTTTTTACCCAACACCAATCAAGTAGCTAGCCGCGTATCTTCAATTTTGCTATGGCATATTCCAGGGGTGAACAGCGATGGACAAAGGTCAAATAAAATTTAATGAACTAATAAAGCTACTGTTTTTTTTCAAAGGAACCCGTTAGAGTATTTTAACACATTTGGCCTCTGTAATCTTGAAAGTCAAAGAAATTAATTTGAGCAAATTGTGTAGCGTTTCATCTCAGCAAGGTACTGGCCAAATATCAACACTCTATGAGTTTTGGTAATTAAAAGAGTTTATTTTAATCATCATACCCCTGTGACTTTGAAATTGAGTCAAGGTCGTCAATTTGGATACGTTTCATAACCCTTCATCTCAGCATGCTACTGGCCAAGTATCATCACCTTTGACCACTTGGTAATTTAGAAGAAGTCATTTGATTTGATAACACATTTGATTCATGTGACCTTGAATGTTGGTTTAAAGCATTCACTTGAACAAACTTGATAGCCCTGTCTCCCAACATGCTCCTTGTAAGAGTCTTGTCCACTTTATAGACGGAGGCTGCTGGTGCGGCTTTAAGTTCCATTCCGGGTTCATTGGGATTTCGGAGTCTCAACTACAGTAAGGCGAATTTGCATAATAAAGGAAATGGTATTTTTTTACTGAAACGGAATTGAGTGATTGCTACAGTTTAAACGAAATTCGTGATGTGATACTTACATTTGTGTACAATAGCTTTCAGGTGTCCCAACTTTCCTCCTCACGCTTTGTAACCCAACGATCGTCATATCTGTAACATTATATTTTATATTAAAACATATTTTGGTAAGTGATTCTCAATTTATAATGCCCTACAAAATCACATTTTATTTAAGATTGAAATTTATACAATATTTAGTAGAAAGTTTGAATGTCGGGGCTGGTGGCCATGGGTGTCTTACACAATTTAAGGACGTCACTTGTCACACTAAAGTGACGCGGAAGCCTAGTTCTAGAGTCCCACAATTTAAGAATATTTAAGGTCATTCTGATTCCTTTTAATATTTTGCAGTAAAATATCTTTTGGAAGAATAACAAAAATTATAACAGTTCCAATATGAGTATAGATTGCATTTACCGGTTGGAGCAACATATTTTTTATTAAAATTTAGAAGCCTAAACCGTGTTGGACACCTAAAAAAGGAAAATAAGGTTCTTGCATAATAGAAACAGTAAAAGCAAGTTCCTGTTTGATAAATAAAGTCCCCCCCCCCCCCCCCCTTATGGAACTTATTCGCGTAGAATTATTTATAATATGCTGCATTTTAACTGTTAAAGTTCTATGACTTATTTTGATATCGTGTTTTGGAAATAGATATTTATAAGCATTTTTTTTAATCTTTCTGTGACCTTTTTATCATTAATCTTTTTCTACCTGCTGTTGGCCTTGTTGTACATTGTCAAGTATTGACAATATTAAAAGATAAATCGGTCGCCAATTAAAAAAAAACCGCTTATCTCCTTTAGGCAATACTGTGGTCAATACAAATACATTGTAATAATAATAATATTTATTCAGGTAAAAGGCAGATATTACACGTGTCTCAAATTTTGCAGATTTGACATAAATATATATATTATCACAGATGTTATTTATAGGTTATTTATGACATAGAACTAGTAACAGTCAGGGTGTTAAAAACGGGATTGGATTTGATTAATTTAGGCATTTATCTGGGATGATTTAATCCACATGGGGTCCCTTTACAATACAATTAAATCTTATCTTGTCTTGTTTTTCGGCTAAAATATAACGTTACTACATATACGTACCTGCTGTAAGTTATAAGATTTATTCTATATTTTTAATTATACGCCAAACATGCTATAATGTTATCTGGTTTATAAGTACCGCTGGCTTAGATAAAATTCATTTAATACCGCGTTTGTAAAGCATTGGGCAAACACTCTTTATTTATTCAATTATTGTATTTTCCTGTACCACGGACTTATCTAATCTAATTCCGTGCCTTTTTTGCAATGACGTTGCGTAATAAATCCTACCAAGGGTTACTTCCCTTGTCATCGCTCTTCCACTGTATTTTGTTCTGGTGCAATATTTTCACAATGACAAGAGAAATACAGCGATTTCCTTGTTTATTTCTTCTGAAGTGAAACAGTGTAACCAGTCATCATGTGAAATTTGATCAAAGGGTATCATTTTAAAAATTACATCTTGTCTGGTAAGTCACAGTCTAACAAAATGTCATGGTTTCAACGAACAATTGTAGCAATGTTTTGTTTTCGTTTTCACTTGACAGATCGTCCGTTCTAATAACCAACATATGTCTGAATACCAACGGAATGTGTATGCTTTTCGTATATTTGAAAGTGATTTTAACACAAATATATTGACATTTTTGCTGAACTGATCTTTGAACAGAAGAAAAATATCATTGCATGGTCTCGTGCTTGATCAGCTGATTCATTGCAGTTTATAGATGATTATGTCATTAAATGCTACCTAGGTAGATCTCTGTGAAGAATTAAAAACATATGTCGTGTAGGTACACGTCAGGTTTAAAAATATATGGAGCTTATTCATCTGTGAAATGTGTGAACTTCTTTGAGTCGATAGAAGTAATTCATTATATAATGGACATGGACTGAGTATTGATATTTTTTGTAATTGAACAAAAAATTGCAAGGTGGTTTGCTTGATCGTGGGTCTGAACTGGGTAAATTTCGATGGCCTATTAGCTCAGACAGGAGAAACATTTCTGCATACTAAAAATAATACTAGGTTTAAAGCAATTTTGTAGAGACTTCATAGCTAATGACTTACAGTGTCAATGGTAAACTTATTCAAAAACAACTTAGACAGACACTCCAGGCAAATTAGCAGGTCCTTACTAGGACTTAAAAAAAAAACAATAAAAAATTGAACAGATGTACATGTGTTTGAATCTAGTGAAGAGGACGTTTAGGTCCTGTATCAGAAAAAGACTGTCTAACTATTATTAAGAAGTGTGTAAGTGACCGTGTATCAAGAGATAGAAAAATGCATGGCCACTAGATCAGGTTTCGAACCTAGGACCCTCTGAACTCTAGACAGACATTCTACCAATCAAGCTACCTGGTCACTGGCAATTGACCCAGACCAGTTCCACTACATTCCTCCCTCATTTTTCTAAGTCTTTGCTACCGAGGACACAATTAACTATTTAAAACCCAAGTTAGGGTATCCCCTTGCATTGCCAAGCATACATCCAATGCTTGTACGCTGTTGGTCACAGGCACCACTGTAACAAAAGTGAAAATGCTCGGCCAGGTGGGGGTTCGATCCTGGGACCCTCCAAACTCTCAGACAGAAGCTCTACCAAATTAGCAACCTTCAGCTGGTCGCTGACGATAGACCCATGGCCAGTTCAATTCTGCTACAATGCCTACAAGTGTGAGATCATTATATTAATACCAATTTAAACATGTGTCACTGACCATAAATACTATCTTATTGGCAGTTACAACATTGACTTTGAATTTTAGATGTTGAGTTGGTGTCCAGAGTCATGCTAGGAGAGCTGTTTAGGAGAGATCAGTCTTGACACACCACAGAGCCACCATGTTGTATGTCTTCCATGTAGACACCGGCACCATGCTCACCTTTGATATGAACTTAGCCATGGAGAGGTAAGTATAGGTCATTATAATTGATTGTAACTAAACATTGACAACAGGCCTTTTTGTCTAATTTTGAGAAGAAAATTTACCAGTTTGGAAGGATTTTTTTTAAGAGTGAACTGTGAATTATATGAAGCAAAAATATAAAAAGATTTCAATTTTGGAATGGGGCCCATTATTGGCACTAAAAGGTTCTCAGAAAAAATGTTATACCATTAATTGACGCCAATGTTATTCTACTCTCGATGTGATTCATCTTCTACAAAAATATTGGGAAAAACCAAATAAGTATTTGTGACTTTTGGGACACAGATATTTTAGTCTTGGGCGCTTGCCCACATTTTCAGAACCCATTATCTTTCTTAACAATGAGACACACTAATACTTTGAAAATTATGTCCAAAACTAACCTGAAAAAAATCCTACAAAAATACCTGCATAGTACATGTAGTTGGTATATATATGATACACAATGGGTGAACAGGGTAAGAGAAAAAGAATCATTCACTCCCTTAAGGGAGATATAGGGGAATCTCAACCCTCGGAAAAGATTCTCAAGTTGCCAAACATTTGGCAAAGCCTCGTGTTTGACAACTTCAGAATCTTCCCCCTCGGGTTGCGATTCCCCTATCTCACCCCAAAGGGGGTGAGAGATTCTATTAATCCCATATGGTCGTTCAATATGGCTCACACATACATGTATCTTGCATACACAGGGTTGGGAGAAATGCATACATAATGTCACGACAGAGTGTAAATGTCATACAGTACAAGTTTGTAAGCAATATTCAACGATGTATTATATCCAAAAATAGAACAAGAACTTGTGAATATTTTACATTGTATGTTGACTATTTTGATTGCAGTGTTGCCACTCTTCAGGGGGTGATAGCCAGGGCGTGTCATATTACCGAGGACAAACAGGTGTTGCTGATCAGTGGTGGAGAGAGTCTGGACCCTTCAGCCAGAGTTGGAAAATACCATGCAGGGACTGTAAGTCACTTACTGAGACCTGTAACTGGTTCCTTACACATGTATATAGCAATTTGAAATGTAGATAAACCTGCTCAATATGAATACTTGCATATATGTACATGCATAATGTCAAAGTGAAAGTCAAGTCAAAGTCAAAAGTTTTATTTAGAGTCGGTACATGGTCATTAGCTCTAAGGAGCTATTAAAACCGACTAACATACAGGACATACACATTACATAATAAAACAGTTACAAAGTCAATACTTTACTCATACACACATCTCAAACACTTGTAAAAAAGCATCTAGACAATTAAACGTACTAAAACGAATAGGCAGACACTTAAACAGACTAGGCAAACTCACTATATATCACTCATTCATCCTCTCAAACTTTAACTTCTGTCCCCTCACATGGCATTTCTGTAATGTCCTGAAATGTTGTTATTTTGTTTATATCTGTCTGTGTAAGTGACACATGTTCCATGCTTTCATTAACCTAAAAAAAGTTATAAGAATGAAACTAATACCAAATGAAAGGCCAATATTTTGTTTACCGTGGTAAGAAAAGCAAAGACAGCGATACTTTTGTTCCGGTGTAGTCTGGTGTAATTAAATTAAAAAGAATTTGGTTTACAGCTGATCTGGCTATACACTGTTATGTAATATGTTCCTGTATACATTATAACTTTAAAATTATAAAATTTGAATACCAGGTAATAAAGTGTTTCAATTATAATCATTAATACGTTCAAGTACCAAACAGGTGTACTAAATATGAATTGGTTATTTATTGCTCTATTGCATTAAATAATTTCTATAACCTTTTCATTGTGTCTATTGTAAGAAGTGTTCAGTTGGGGGTTTATCTATCCAAAGTAACTTTTATTAATACAATACGTTACCAAACCACAGCAGATCATCAACATACTGTACACCGGGAAATTTTACGCTGCAATTTAATTTTTTGCCTTTTCCATTCTCCATAATGAGGATGAATCTATCAATACAGGGAACATTAGTAAACAGCATAATATACATAAGCATTAAATGTGAAGGGTGAATTCAATATTGGGTGAATATGGGTTTTACTGGCAAAGGACAAAAATCAAATGCGCATTGCTCTTGATTTTGTCTCCTTATAGGACACCAATCCAATATTCCTGTTCAGCAAGAGTACAATAGAGGCCATGACACCACCTTCTCCTAGTGTTCATTATGGATCAGGTAATGTATAACATGCAGATATTAGATTCCAAGACATCCCCACAATTTTTATGGTGTTCATATATTGCCAAAAAAAAATGTATAAAAAGTACGGAAGGTCGGTTTGGATTTATTTTTCTTCTATTTTTTTATTTTTTTTTTAAATTGAGGGGTAGGGGGCTAAATTTAGAAATTTCACAAATCACCAAACATATTTTCTGAACTTTTAAATAATAATATGGAATTTAAATATGATTTTGATACCCACTTATGAAGTAGAGAGTGTATATATATATATACTAGTAGTTGCCTTGTTTGTTTGTCCATCAATTTGTTTGCATCCGGTGGACAAGTTATAATTATCCCATCACTGGATGGAATGTATTTGAGTGAGATAAATTGTTACGATTGGAGGTAAAAACTAGGGTCAGTTGGGGTAATTATAACATACATACTTTTTTGTTTTGGCCGCATCAATAAAATATAACATAAATTTTATGTTTGAGGTAATGACACCAGTTTTTCTGTGGTAGTAGAAAGAGAAGTGCAATCTACAATAATGTACCTTGTTTATGAAATCATGTGAGTAAAGTTATGGAGAACTCCTGTGATATTTGTAACATTGTAGATGTGGACATCCACAGTCAGGTGGAAGGATCACTACTGCTGCCCCCAGCGTACGCTACCGTCGTCTCTCGGGCACAACTAGCTTTGGTGTGTATCTCTTAAAGCATGCTTTACATTGGTATGACTGTAGTTTGTACTGTAGACTAATAGCTATTTTTGTGATGTTGACATAACCTTATTTAATGTTATTTATTTATGGTCTTTACACAAATGGTGGTTATATTGTATATTAATCATTCAGACATGTATTGACTCGTTAAACTTGTATTAAATGGTAATTTGCTCTGTCAGACGTAACTTATTATCAGGTCAGTTTGACCTTAATGTACACTCTCGGACAGTGCATGAAATGACTTATTTGTCTACTGTAAAAGCCTATTGGCTTCACCCTCTTATACCATCCTCGATAACCAGGAGTTACGGTCACTTTCGCTCTCTGCACCCCTGGAATATTTCATAGCAAAATTGAAGGCACGAAGATAGCTGTTTGATTGGTCTCGGGTAAAAAAACCTGACCAATCACAGGCTGATACCTGTCCTTTGAAGATTACAAAGGAGATATGCCCGACTTCAAAGCCTGTCAATTTTTACCATTACGTGACCACAAGATTCTTTTGATGTACATCAAAGGATAGAACTAGTCTTCTCGTCTGGTCCTCAAGTTGCTGCACACTAAACCTCCAATCAATTTTGCTATGACATATTCCAGGGGTGTAGAGAGCGAAATTGGGCGTAACCCCTGGATAGCGAGGATGTCTTATACTGGCATGAATGCTAATTTACAAGACAGTAAATCCCTCAAGTTACCTTAAAACTTGTCTGTGAATTCTTCTCAAAGTCAAGTAGAAAAGACACCATGAAAATTCAATACCCATGTGTTTTTCTTTTGCATTTTAGATTTTACTTCGTACAAAATGTGTCTATAATCTGTTGTAGCAAATCCATGATGTAGATAAGGAGGAAATGAAGGCCTGTGAGAAGTTAGTCCATGACCAACATCTCCAGCAGCAGGGCTGGGCTGCTGTGGTGGCTAATCTGGAGGACATAACAAGGTACACAGACGCCAGGGGGGGGAGGGGGGGGTAGAGAGGTCGCAGGGATGGTAGAGATATTAGGGAGTAGGTGAGGAAGAGAAGTGAGGGAGAGATGAGGTTGAGTTAGCCTGATTTTGACAGATAGGTGTCTGGTCTCAAGCCTAAGCGCATCACTATATGTCTAAGTCTGGTGTCAGGGCCAGAGTGTATGGGGCCTTAGTACATCACTATATGTCTAAGTCTGGTGTTAGGGCCAGAGGGTATGGTGCCTAAGTACATTATTTTATGTCTTAAGTCTCGTGTCAGGGCCAGAGTGTATGGGACCTAAGTACATCACTATATGTCTAAGTCTGGTGTTAGGGCCAGAGGGTATGGGGCCTAAGTACATCACTATATGTCGAAGTCTGGTGTCAGGACCAGAGGGTGTGGGACCTAAGTACATCACTATATGTCTAAGTCTGGTGTTAGGGCTAGAATGTGTGGGGCCTAAGTACATTACTATATGTCTAAGTCTGTAGTCGGGGCCAGAGGGTGTGGGGCCTAAGTACATTACTATATGTCTAAGTCTGTAGTCGGGGCCAGAGTGTGTGGGGCCTAAGTACATTACTATATGTCTAAGTCTGGTGTAAGGGCCAGATGGTGTGGGGCCTTAGTACATCACTGTATGTCTAAGTCTGGTGTCAGGGCTAGAATGTGTGGGGCCTATATAAGTACATTACTATATGTCTAAGTCTGGTGTCGGGGCCAGAGTGTGTGGGGCCTAAGCACTACTATATGTCTAAGTCTGGTGTCGGGGCCAGAGTGTATGGGACCTAAGTACATCACTATATGTCTTAGTCTGGTGTTAGGGCCAGAGGGTATGGGGCCTAAGTACATTATTTTATGTCTTAAGTCTGGTGTCAGGGCCAGAGTGTATGGGACCTAAGTACATTACTATATGTCTAAGTCTGGTGTAAGGGCCAGATGGTGTGGGGCCTTAGTACATCACTGTATGTCTAAGTCTGGTGTCAGGGCTAGAATGTGTGGGGCCTAAGTACATTACTATATGTCTAAGTCTGGTGTTAGGGCCAGAGTGTATGGGGCCTAAGTACATCACTATATGTCTAAGTCTGGTGTCGGGGCCAGAGGGGATGGGACCTAATTAGTACAATACTATATGTCTAAGTCTGGTGTCAGGGCCAGATGGTGTGGGGCCTAAGTACATTACTATATGTCTAAGTCTGGTGTAAGGGCCAGATGGTGTGGGGCCTTAGTACATCACTATATGTCTAAGTCTGGTGTTAGGGCCAGAGTGTATGGGGCCTAAGTACATCACTATATGTCTAAGTCTGGTGTCAGGGCCCGAGTGTATGGGGCCTTAGTACATCACTATATGTCTAAGTCTGGTGTTAGGGCCAGAGTGTATGGGGCCTAAGTACATTACTATATGTCTAAGTCTGGTGTCAGGGCCAGAGTGTATGGGACCTAAGTACATCACTATATGTCTAAGTCTGGTGTTAGGGCTAGAATGTGTGGGGCCTAAGTACATTACTATATGTCTAAGTCTGTAGTCGGGGCCAGAGTGTGTGGGGCCTAAGTACATTACTATATGTCTAAGTCTCGTGTCAGGGCCAGAGTGTGTGGGGTATGGGACCTAAATACATTACTATATGTCTAAGTCTGGTGTCAGGGCTAGAATGTGTGGGGCCTAAGTACATTTCTATATGTCTAAGTCTGGTGTCAGGGCCAGATGGTGTGGGGCCTAAGTACATTACTATATGTCTAAGTTTGGTGTCAGGGCCAGAGTGTGTGGGGCCTAAGTACATTACTATATGTCTAAGTTTGGTGTCAGGGCCAGAGTGTGTGGGGCCTAAGCACTACTATATGTCTAAGTCTGGTGTCAGGGCCAGCGTGTGTGGGGCCTAAGTACATTACTATATGTCTAAGTCTGGTGTCAGGGCCAGAGTGTGTGGGGCCTAAGTACATTACTATATGCCTAAGCCTGGTGTCAGGGCCAGATGAAACTTGAGCAAAAAATGTGTGAGATGTTAGGGCAAGAGATGTAAAGAGGTTAGAAAAGTTAGTTTCAGGGTCCTCAGAACACATGTATATATACAGCTATATATATTTTCACTGATATTACAATATTCATGTGCTCACTAGTGTGTTAACTATAAATCCCATACATGTCTATGCATAATTAAAAAAACAGAATTATATCAAATTCAGCGGGACTTTAGAAACCAGTTCTTGACAGTAAATTATTCGTATAGTAAAGTCCAGAGCCCAAAAAACAGTTCTGCACTAACTCTACAAGACCCTGTAGAAATCAGTTTTACAGTAAACATGTTAATAAGGAGTATCTGGCACTCTGTCATAGCTTGACAAAGGGACCAGTCTGTCTAGAAACGTACGTTGCAAGATAATTGTATGTCAGGAGACACAATCATGTCTGGTTAAAAGTATGATTTATTCTTTAATTTACATGTTAGGTTTAGAAAATGTATGTGTACATGGTAAATATGAAATCATATATTATGTTACGTTTTATAGTGCACTTCACCAGAGATCCGAGATATTCATGACAGCCTACCAGGAGTACTTGGTACAGCGGGAAGACTACAGAGAAACTCTCTCAAGGCATGTTGTTTAGTTGTGTAGACATTTATATTGAACAGCTGATAGTGCTCTCAATTCTCATTTATCAAAAAAAAATGTGAACTGTTGTTTTACAATTACAATTATTATGTGTGTTTGTTGTCCAGTGATTGGCATATAAATTCTTGTTACAAACTAACACCTGTAAAACATAATGATTTAGATTATTGACGTTTTTGATCCTCAGAGTGGTCAGTTCGCTACAGCTGTTGAGTAAGATCCCAGTACTGCCGGTGTTGTTGAGTGAAGTGTCCTTCCTGTCGGAGGATGCCATGGGCCTGATTGGGTCTGATGAGGACAACAACGGTAGTCTGTATGACTGGATTAGTTCTCAGGTACACACTTTGTTAAATGGATTTTAAACATTTTACATAGACTTCAATATAGATATTTGTGAAAAATAACCCAAAGTTTTTATACGCCTGTCAAATTTGACGGAAGTATTATGGTATGGGTCTGTTTGTCCGTCCGGCTTAAACTTTTGTTTGTCCGGCAATCTCCTCCTACATTTTTCGACCGATCTCTTTGAAACTTCGTATACATTATAATCATGATATGAAGTTGTGTCTCCCTTAAAAGAATTTTGGTTCGACAATTTTTCCAAAAGTTATTGCCCTTTGTTCATTTCAGTATTTGATTTTTGTCCGACAATCTCCTCCTACATTTTTCAACGGATCTCTTTGAAACTTCGTATACATTATAATTATGATATGAGGTTGTGTCTCCCTTAAAAGAATTTTCGATTAAACGATGTTTGCAAAAGTTATTGCCCTTTGTTCATTTCAGTATTTGATTTTTTGTCTAGAGATTTTCTCCTACATTTTTTGATGGATTTCTTTGAAACGTAGTAGGCTAAATAATCATGATATGTTGTTGTGTTTCCTTGAAAAGAATTTTGATTCAACGATGTTTGCAAAAATTATTGCCCTTGGTTCATTTCAGTATTTGATTTTTTGTCCAGAGATTTTCTTCTGCATTTTTTATAGCATGTCAGCTAACCACTCTTAGAATGATGCAAAGAGATCTTACTTCAATGTAAGAAAGTATATAACACTATATGGCATTCGACGGGCGTCTATTGGTCCGCCCCGCGGTACTCTTGTTGTTATAGCTAGCATGGCTATGTCTTAAATCTGTTTCAGGGAACTTCGACAATACCAGTACTTTCTCTAAATGGGGAATTTTCCAACCATAATTTTATATACAATGAATTGTTCTATTTTGAGGGAGTGTGATTTCTGGAGGTGTATGTACTCACTATATATTCTTCAGACTTATTTGATAGAAGTGTTATTTCGCAGTTTTCCTGGTGACTTGAAGCTTAATGCTTTCATTCAACATAAGATTTAACATTTCTAGCTATATATACTAGCAACAATTTTTTTTATTTTTTTTTAAATGAACAAATTTATATTTTCCTCCAAAAGTATGAAACACTGAACATATTAAGAGCTGTACACAGTATTTCATTACAATATAATTAACATGAAGATTTCCTGACTGACAATAGAAATTTCTTGTGATCAACGTTCTTTATGGCATTTTGAAATTTACGTAGGAAGACTTATGGTAGTTGTAATCTAAGGGCTTGGACAATGCATTTATAATTAGTATCACAATGAAAAGTAATGAGTAATCATCAACTATTTAATATTCTAATCTAGATTCCAATCCTGTTCTAAAAACAATGTACTGACCCAAGGAAAGTTGAAAAAAAATCTTTATTAACAGAATTTTTGAGAAGAACAATATTGGCTTTGCCTGTTGTCGAATTCTTTTGTTTTTGAACAATAAAACTTGGAGGAATAATAAAACTTGGAATGATAAAACATATATGTGCATGTTTCATCGAGTCACTACTATGTAAAAATGATGTTCTTACCCAAATTGTTTCGCTGACATTCTGCCAGCTTGGTCAAAGCATTTATATTAGACCAGTTATTCTTCCACTTACAACAAATGGTTGATATATAGTAACTTGAATCTGTTGATTCAGGTGTACAAGTCATGTTTTATCTGTATGTTTTCAAACAGACCAGGTTTGCCTGGCTAATGATATGATTAACGTTAATTATTAATTTATGTCGTTATAAGTCGAATATTAACCTGGTCAGTAATATGCACCCAGCTTGACAAATCTTGTTGTATGTGAAACAAAAGGATCCGCAGCACAACCTAAACGACATGGTGGACCAGTGTATGAAGGCCACCGAGCAGCTAGACCCACGTATACAGGAGTCTCTGACCAGTGAGGTCCAGAGCACGCTGAAACAGGTGGACAACTTAAGTATGAAGGAAGTGAAGGGGCTAGAGGATCGTCTGTATGGGCTCGACCAGATGATGTCTGTAGCACGGCGCCTGGTCCAGGAACAGTCCGACATGGCACAGGTACTAGTGGGGAATATATGTATTTTCTAATTTGATTTCTTCAGTGGAAGGAAGAGGAAATACATGTATCAATGGGGTTAGATATGCATTGTATTCTTAATTTGCCTATTAAAAAAATATAAAAATGAAGTTATTTTCACACCCTAGTAAGATTTACTCCAAGAGATGATGGGAATGTTTAACTGAGTTAATTGTTCTTTTTTATGCTCCAGCCATAAAATGGGGGAGGAAAGGGGGGCATATAGTGTTGCCCATGTCCGTTCCGTCGCATCCATGAGCGGGGGCATTTATGTCTTACAGACATTTTCTAGTTTTCTATTTAACTATACACCTAGTTTAGAATCCTATTTTGATTTGGAGATTATAATTGTCCCTTACCCTAGAATCCTATTTTGATTTGGAGAGTATAATTAACTTAGGATCTGCTCTGGCATTGCTTTAAAAGATGCTAGATAATTATAAGCAATTATAAATAAAAATAATTATCAAATACAAACAAAAAAACAACGAAATTATTTTAAATTACTTTTGTTGTCCAAGTTTTGCAGGTAAAAAATATTAATGGGTTTCACTTTAAATAAGTTTATTCCAGATAAATGTGTAATAGGAGTTTGCGTCTTTTCCAGGGTTTTATTCAGAATCAGAACCGAGTCAGTAATCTACGAGATAAGTCGATCCTGCCCGACCTCTGCTCCAGTCACAAGAAACAGCTGCTGGTCATGGTCAACAACCACAAAATGCTCCGGGACAAGAAAAAGAAATGTAAAATGGCAAAAGAGGAACTGGCTGTGAATCTACACACACGACTAAGGTAAGTTAGGAATATTACGTGATTGTTTGGACGACCTAACGAAATTATTTAGTCCAATTGCAAGAACTGGGAAACGAAGGCCACATTTGTTTATCGCGATCCAAACGGTTGAACCGGTGGAACAGAGTTGTTCGTTTAAGAAATAAGGTCGGACCTAGCAATCTGATGCTGCTTTCAGGCGAGCCTTGACACAGACTTGCAAGGCCAACATAAAAACGTTTGCAGGTCCGCCAGGATTTATACCCGAAAATGTAACATTTAAAAATGGACAAACTGTTCACGGTTTGAACCGGAAACGCAAAAGAAAGGAATGAGAGTTAAGTATGATTGCTAGACCTGAGGTAGGGGAGGTGAGTCTGATTGTTAAAGCTGATGTAGATGGTCAGTTGTGAGGTAGGCAAGCCAAATTTGATTGTTCAAATTGACATAAATAGAACCCTGACTGTTTAGAGCATGTCAACATCAGAACTAGCATCGTTTGATCACAGTTCAGACACGTAGCTGAACAACTATATCATACATTCTTTCTTTGTGTGGTCGGATGCGTGATTTGGTTTGAGATGATGATCTGTGTTATAGTAATAGTAATGGCTGTCTTTGTGTTGTCAGACGGGTGATGTGATGAGACCTGTGTTTGTGGTAACTTCTACCTTTGTTTCATTAGGTGGGTGATGTGGGTTGAGAAAATGATCTGTGATGTGGACGGAAAGCTCATGATTTACCACGAGAACCTCAAGCGACTGAGGAAACGTCTGGACATTCTGCGTCAGATCTACGAGGCCCCGCGAGTGTATGCCCAGCTGGTGGTGGAAGTGGTTCGCAGGAAGAAGTTTGCCTCTTTCTTCACTAAGGTAGGAAGTGTGTTGACATATCCTGTTTAACAAAATGAAATCTTGATATCATTGAATGTACAGGTCTCTGAGAAAAGACAAAAGAGGAAATTTCTGTTCTTTAGGTAATTAGTAAATAGATGTCTGTAAACAAGTAAATACACCGATATCTGTGTTGTAGTGGGCAGTAACGGTTGCTGATGACTACAACTCGGTTCATTCGGAAGAAGTGAAACGCAGGCAGACTTTTCAAAGTGAAGTTGGTAAGTATATATGAGGGTATATTTAATAAATTTAGTTTGCATATATAAACTGCATGATCAGCTTTGTATCCAAAAGAAATTGCCATAATTGAACCTATAATGAGTAGAAAAGGTGAAGAAATAAACATTGAAATGCCAAAGGTTTCAGAAACTATGTGTGATGTATAGGGAAGGCAACATATGTGTCAAATGGACCTAAAAATACTATAATTGATAAAGCACTTGATTTCTGACATTGCACATGGCATGAATAACAAACATTTTCGTGACTCTAATATAATAAACCCTAATACCACATGCTAAGTCAATAATATCAAAGTAAATGTGATAGATTTAAACAACATATTGATTACTATTGATTACAATTATAAACCCAGTGATTCATAGAATCTTCTTCTATCGTGAGGGTATGCTGGAGATATCTCGGCTTGAAGTGTGGTCATTTTGAGTGTCAAACCCAAGGTTTGCCTTGAGCTGACTGTTAGATTGCAAAAAGCAGGTTTGACACAACTACAAGAACATTTAAATGTGTAGGAGAACAGATTATTGGATTGATGACGATACATCTGGTTTATATAGTAATTATTTTTTTGTCTAGGTCATCACTTCCTGCAGACGTTGTTCCAGGGTCTAGAAGATGTGCCTGTCACTGTCATAGTGAGTATATTTTAACACTCCATCATATGTCATATATTATTTCAGTTTTGTAAATATTTTTGTTCATGAAGGTTTTAAATTCTGATCAAATAATTAAATAGACATGTGGTATATATTTTTATTGTTTTAGTACTTTGTGACAGTGAATGTATTCGACTGGATTTTACTATTAAACATTAAAAGTTGAATGAGGTAGTAACAAAACTAATGAACATTATGTCCTAGAGATAAATTTACTGCAACCTACTTCAAAACTTCTGAATTGGAAACGTTGACACATGTTTCATTTGACTCGAGTTTCTCCCCAATCAAAAATCAAAACTGCTGCCCTGCATTAGTCTGCTTGCTTCCATGAAAATGAAACTGATGTGTGGAATTAAATGTTGTGTTTTCCCCTGAGAGTAGCCTCCCCTCCCCAATGATTGGTAACAGATTATTATTCTGGGCAGATATTTCATCATCTGACAGTATAAGAGATTTTTTTATGGTAGTTTGAAATCATTGTTTTAATTGGTCAAATCAGCAAAAGTAATATTTTTTTAATTGTGAAAAAAATTACTAATTTATAGAATGAATATTTTTTAACATTTCAATGATAAAAATGTAATAATGATTTTTAAAATTATATATATGAATGTCTATTTACAGAGTAAAACACCGTCAGATTTTGACAAGAACTTACCAAACATCACATCTGATGATATCACCATGTTGAAAGAGGCAGTACCAGAGTTGGCAGAGGAGCTGAAGTATGTATATATGTTGGTGATGAGCTTTAAGGATCAATTGTTACGAAAAAAAATGTCCTGGGAACAGGGTGGGTGCCTGCAATTAAGCCCTCCCCGTAATTGTGTCTCTCTTACAAAAATAATGTTATTTTTTGTCTCTGAACATAAGCGAATTAGCTCTTCAACTGGATGCATTACAAAAATGAGCCAAGTTAAAATTCTGAAAATAGTTATTTCACTGAATTGTAAATAATATGTAATGTCATAGACTACACTGTGATTCTGTACTGTTTTCTTATTACAGATTATGTGAGTATGTATTCATTATAAACTAAGGATAAATATAATAAATTGAAAATAGGAAATCGTTTTTTAGAAAACAACAGCACAATCAACTAGTTTTTAATTTTTGTGTATGTTGGTTATTTTAACAACATGAACAATAATAAGTATATATGATATCTAGCTACATACAGATTAAAACAGTGGTATATCCAAGATGGCTGACATTTGTGAACAGGGAGATACTCGCAATTAGGCCCCCTGCCTACTTTTGGTCAATCTTTTATCACTAAGGACGGGGGCTTATTTGCAGTTAAATACAATAATGTGTAAACACTGATGACAAAACCTTTGACACTTGTTCCAGGCTACCATTTGAGGCTGCTCTACCAGTGGGAACCACAGACATTACAAAGAGCAAGTTTCCTCAGCTATTTAAACATAACTCTATAGTCACTTCAGAGATTGAGATCATCCATAGTTTGGACGATCAGTACTTGACTTGTGACCGAGACAGTGTTTCGCTCGGCGAACAGGTGGCCAATTCTGAACTGGACACAAACCTTGTGATAAAAAGTGAAAATGACACTGACCAACTAAAACCAGAGCTATTGATGCCCAGAAGTCTTTCAGAGGACCTTACCCAACAAATGAAAGGGGAGGTGAGTGATGATTCTAATGAAGGAAAAGAGGCGAGTAGAGGCGCCGCTGTGGCTAGTGTAAGATCGCCAACAGTCAAACGGGAACAGGTGACGCTCAAAACATCGGGGGAGGCTTCAGGAGCCTCTACCTCATCTGGGGAGCAAATCAAGTCAACTGAGAGTGATTCATCTGGTCAGGATAATGCTCAACACAGTGGTGAGGAGAAAAGTTGTGAGAGTGCCGGGCGAAAGATAATGTCCCGTCGGAAGGTTGGGGCGGAATTATCACCCGACATGGAAACATCCCAGGAGTTTACTACAGCAGATTTCTACATTGAGGATTCAATGCCTTCTTCCATAGCGGACTCGCCACCAACATGTTCTAAACCGGGTACAGTAAAACCTAGTGCCGAAAAACTCTCAGAGAACAAAGCAGCATATCTAGAGAAGCTAGAGAAGGAAAATATAGAGTTTAAGGCTAGGAATAGTGTTGTGTCTTCTAAACTTAAAACTTTTCAGGAATATGTAAATATACACTTGCCAGAGATGAAATCATCTTTAAGTGGGTTCCAAACAACCTATGTAAGTAGTCAAATGCAATTTCAAGATGAGTTTGAATCTAATAAGAAAAAAATTCTAGAAACTCTACAACAGTTTGATGCACACAGAAGTGAAGAGGAAAGAATCAACATAGAGAAACATTTTGCTGATTCTGAGAAAATCAGAAATGATTTGGAGGAAAAACTGAAACAATCGAACATACAAATATCGGCACAAAAAGAGGAAGTGGAAAATCTACAGAGAGATCTTGTTATCGCAAAGGAGGATGTGACTTTAGTGAGAAAAACATCGGAAGAGAAAGTGTCAGATTTATCGTTGCAACTGTCAGAAATGTGTAAAGTATCGGAAAGTGAGAAAAGTAGAATAGCTGACCTAGAAAGACAGACAGAATCACTGAAACAACAATCAAACGAGATGGAAGACAGAGCAAAGGAAACAAAAGAAAAACTAGAAAATGATTTAAGTAAGGCAAAAGAAAATTATGATGTAGAAGTCTCTGAACTAACAAAGCGGCACTCTTTAGAAATGGAAGTAGAGTTAGACAAACTCCGGGCCGAAATGCAGCTACAGATCGATGAACTGGAAAAGATTGTGTCTGAAAAAGAAAAGTTATTGAAGGAAATGGAGGGCAATCTAAAAAAGGCAGAGAAAGAAAACATTCTGTTAGAAGAGAAAATGATGGAGAAATTCCAAACTGAGAAAGATGGCATCACTAAAATAATGGAGGAAGATTTTGAGCAGAGGATGGACAAGAAGATTGAGGAAGAGAAGGAAGCATTGTCTAAACAGTTTCAGCAGGAGAGAGAAACCCTTCTAGGGGAACACCAAAGTGGAATAGAAAATCTATCGAAACAACTTGTGTCAGAAAAAGAGGAGGAAGTAGAGAAAATAAGAAAAGAATTGGAAGAAAAACATGAGAAAAGTGAGACAAATATCAGGACTATGTTAGAAAAAGAAAAAGATGCTGATTTAGAGAAACAAAAATCTGTGCTGACAGAGGACTATCAGAAAGAAATGGGAACAGTTAGAGACGAGTTACTTCAGGAGAAGGCAACTCTGTTACTGGAACTGAAGGCCTTCCGTGACAAAGTGATGGAACAGAAAGAGTCGCAGACTGAGGTGAAGGAAAGTAAACCCCTCTCTGTACAAACGGAGCCAGCTCAAGTGACAGGGAAGGAGACACAGACACCTGCACAGGAGGTAACACAGTCACAGTCACAGACAGACAAGACACAGCTCGCACAGCAACAGATCCAGACGGAAGTATTCGAGGGTACACACACAGAGTCCCAAACAGAAGCTAAGGAGGTAAAAACAGGTGTGTCACAGACAAAAACTGTCGTGCTAGCCCAGGGGGAGACGCAGACAGCTGTCAAGGAATACCTACCAAAGGAGGCTCAGACCAAAATACACAGCTATGCCCAGGGGGAGGCTCAGACTGATCTCAAAGCAATGGAGCAGCAGACGGATTCATCTTCGGGGTTAAAACTTGTCGGAAATGTCTTGAGCAGGGAGGAGCATGAAGATGCAGTCAGAGAAGTAGAGAAGCGTCTTAGAGAGCTGCAAGATCAGGCTTTGGGCAAGGTGAGTAAAAGTAGCAGGATAACACTGTGGGCAAGGTGAGTAAAAAAGCAGGATAAGACTGTGGACAAGGTGAGTTAAAGTAACAGGATAAGACTGTGGACAAGGTGAGTTTAGCAGAAAGATCAGGCAGGCTGTGGGCAAGATGAGTTTAATAGCAGGATAAGACTGTGGACAAGGTGAGTTAAAGTAACAGGATAAGACTGTGGGCAAGGTGAGTTAAATAGCAGGATAAGACTGTGGACAAGGTGAGTTAAAAAAGCAGGATAAGACTGGGCAAGGTGAGTTAAATAGCAGGAAGGCTCAGGCTTTGGGCAAGTTGAGTTTAGCAGAAGGCTCAGGCTTTGGGCAAGTTGATAGCAGAAAGATCAGGCTGTGGGCAAGTTGAGTTTAGCAGAAAGCTCAGGGTTTGGGCAAGTTGATAGCAGAAAGATCAGGCTGTGGGCAAGATGAGTTTTTAGCAGACGGATCAGACTGTGGGCAAGGTGAGTTTAGCAGAAAGCTCAGGCTTTGGGCAAGTTGATAGCAGAAAGATCAGGCTGTGGGCAAGATGAGTTTAGCAGATGGATCAGGCTGTGGGCAAGGTGAGTTTAGCAGACGGATCAGGCTGTGGGCAAGGTGAGTTTAGCAGAAAGGTCAGGCAGTCAGATGCAGTGAAATAACTTAAGAGGCATCAACAGGAGAACTAGCATCCAGCAATAGGTAAGGCATTGAAAAAATGCAAATGTAAAAAATTAACATTGCCAATATATAAACTGCTGGAATTCAGGTATATTTTGTTAAAGTCCTTATTTTAGAGTTAGAAGGACAGATGTTAATTAGAATCTATCATTTTGCATTAAATTAAACCCCCAGATTTTATTATATATCCATATACATGTCAAAATAACAATAACAATATATAATGTGTGTTTGAAGGCCCTGACTAACAGCCAGGAGAAGACAGAGTTCGAGCTGAATGCCCTCAAGGAGCAACACGATCAGGAGATTAGCAGTCTTATAGCAAAATTTGAGAAAGATCGGGACGATTCTGCAAGCTCCCTCAAAACCAGTTTGACTGCAGAAAAGCAGGTTTGTTTGTGTTTGAGTGCTTCGTGTACTAGAGAAAAAAAAAAAATCCTTTTAAAGGGCATCTTTCGACAATTAGAAAGCTTTAAACAGGGCTTTCAATAGGTCCTTGAGAGTATTTTTTGTGACCCCCCTCTCCCCTCCCCCAGCTTTGGGTTTGAAGGACAGTTTAATTTTACATGTTCTGACACTCCAAAAGTAATGTAAAATGCTATTTGACTTCTCAAATTGCTAAATGCACAGGGTCAAAATGAAAGCCCTGGCTTTTTTTTTTTTTTTTTTTAATGAAGAAAGTGATTATTAGTTTGATTATTCATTGAATGGTTGTCACTTTTGAACTATGTACTAGTAGAAACTAGGAAAGATCATTTTAAATGATTTGGAATTTTTCTTTCCAGATGATGTTCAATGAAGCAGTAAGCAAGGTCACTCAGGAGAAGGACAAAGTGATTGAAAGTCTGCGTCAAGAACAGACAAAAACCCTCGAACAACAGCACAACTACAAAGGTATCGTTATGCTGCTCCAACTACACTACATGCTTCTTGGTATATGTATAGCAGGAAAAAGGGTGGATCAAGGAAACGTGATAATAACCGAACGGTGACATTAAACGATGTGATATTAGTTGAAATGTACTGTATTCATTTCTATGAAGGACTTGTTCATTTCAAATCTGTTGTAATGTGTTTAAATTTTGTGTTATATAATGGCATCAGATCTGTACACTGAAAAAACCTGACAGGATTATAATTATCTCCCTTAATGAAAGTATATTATGAAAATATAATTTAACCCTTATTTAATGTTTGTAAATATAGAGATTATCATTTTAACCCTTGATATGCAGATGAAATAGGAGATTTTAATTTATCCCTTGTTAAATGTATATGAATAAATCGGTAAAAATTATATACCTTGTTCAAGGTACATGAATGAATGTTATAGAAATCATTTGTTTATTGTATATATATTTTTTTTTTATTATTATCTCCCAATTTAAATACGTTACTGAAGAAATTATAATTGTCTCCCTTGTTAATATTTCGCGAAAGAGATGATTATCTCCCTTGTTTATTGCATGAATATAAGTAGTGTCCATACCCTCTCCTGGTAAACATTTATATATGAATAAATATCTTCACATTTAAAAATTTCACACCTTCTATGGATCATATATATATTATGCAATAATATTTATCAATGATGTCAATTTTCAGACACAATTGAGAAGCTAAAGGAGGAGAAGGCAAAACTGGAAGACATGAAGACCAGGGCAATGTCACATTTGAATGATAAAGACAGAGAATTTGCGTAAGTCACACTGACATCAATCATGATTTTGTTATATAACTCGCATTATATATAGTTAATGAAAAGACGTGTTATTATTGTGTTCAATGACAGCATGTCAAGTTTTGACATATTAAATTTATAGTTGATTTCTCAACTAATCATGTGTGTTTCTGAAATTTATAAGATGAAGAAGGGGGGGGGGGGGGGGGGGGGGGGGCGAAAATAAACATGAGTACTACATATACTGCTAAAGTAATCAAGTTTTTCACTAGACTGCATAAAATTATGAAACTCTTAACTTCAAAAAAGCAAAAGTGATCAATTCCATTGTCAAATTATGACATTTCTGAGAACTGAAACTTAAAAAAAATATTTCAATGAAATTGATAATTAGTTAATCACTAATTGACAACTTCCTTGAAACATTTTTTTTATGAGTAATCAATTTCTATATAAATGTGAATAAATAAGTGTTGATATGACCATAGTTGTTAGTACATGGTATTTTGTAATGGGTTAGGGCAAACAGTCCTTTTTGTTGCTGTCGGCCCTTCATTGATCTATCACAATTTGGTGGTCACTTCATGTTAAATTCATTTCCCTGTTGTTAAGTAGGGACTATACAGTACAGTACAGGTGTGTGTGTGCACATGTGCGTGCTACATACAACATGTATACAGAACGTGTACGTTGTTGGCTGTTTTGACTTGTTTAGTACCCTGAATCCCCTTCCCTTCATCTCTCTTCTCACCCTCTCTCTCAAGGTTTTTCTATTTATGAGTGTCTGTCGGTCAGATAAAATAACCTTTTTTCCGTTTGTAAAAATATCTATAAAGTATTAAATAAAATAACTGGAATTTTATTTCATGTCATTAACAAAATTGCTGAAAATTTACATTTTCTCTGAGTGAAAAAGGAAAAAAAATAAAAGTACTCAGACTTCAGAAAATGAATCTTTGTAAACCATTACAATACCTCCGATCTTTTTTGAGGTTTTTGGTATTTACCTGATGTTACAGAATGTTTAAGACAGACGGAGGGCGACATAATGATTGATTGTTATTACAGAGCGTGTAAGAGACAGACGGAGGGTGACATATGTATTGTTTGTTATTACAGAGCGTGTAAGAGACAGATGGAGAGTGAAGTGGCTTTGGTGCGCCAGCAGTTGACCGAGTACCAGACACAACTCCAGCCCGCATCACACATGCAGGTCTCAGCATCACCCTCGGTCATGAACATCAGGTATGTATGACCTATCAACCCTCCTGGAATTATTTACTCTGTCCCTTGGTAGTTGATATAACACATTAGAGTTAAGAGGTGTTCATGCATGTTCATTGACTGTGTGTGTTGGCTTGTTTAACCCTTTCACCACTGTAGACTACAAAGGACTCATTCATATCAATGCATGGTAGACTCAACGAAAGTTACATAGGGGTGAAAGGGTTATACCTACTGCAAATATTCTTTGTTTTGTATGTCAGTGTTTTGTGAATGTCTACTTTTCTTTTTCAGTACAACAGAAGACAAAGAGTCAAGAATCTGTGAATTGGAAGAAGTGAGTCTACACTTACCACCAGCCCTCCCAATTTTGGTGTGACCCTCCCAATTTTGGTGTGACCCTCCCCCCTCCTGATCGTATTAGTCAAAAATATATAATCTCATGATTTTCGGAAATTTCTCCCGCTCTGTATTTTGAAGTCCTGAGACTATATAATATACGAAGGAACTGTAACACACAGGGAAGTTAAGTAGATATATGGTCGATATATAGGTATTGCATTTTACAGACCGATATGAAATATCTATTATACAAATTCATCAATTTTTAGCTCACCTGGCACGAAAGGCCTAGGGTGTCAATATTTGGCCAGAAGCAAACTTGGATGAAGGGCTACAAAGTTTCTTAAAATTAATGACCTTCACCTATTTTCAAGGTCACAGGGGTCAAATATGTCAAAAACTTTAAACATCTTCTTCTCAATAACCAAAATGCCCAGGGAGATGATATTTGGCCAGTAGCATGCTTGGGTGAAGGGCTACCAAGTTTGTTCAAATGAATGACCTTCAATTATATTCAAGGTCACAGGGGTCAATTGTATTAAAAAACCTTTAAACAACTTCTTCT